TTGAATAATTAGATCGCTTATTATGATAACGAGAATACGTCAAATTATTATTATTTCCCCATCAATTTGAGTGCCGTATTATAACTCATTCCTCACTAATATTTTCATAGATTTTCTCTACCTATATCAATTTCTATTTTTCTTAATTCTTATTTAATATTTATTCTATCCTAATTAAAATCATATAAAAAATATGATATCTTATTCATAATTCGAACGTATATAATATAATTCGGACATATATATATATATATATTTAAACGAGCATAAAAATATCGTAAATCCCGTAAATATAATAAATCTCATAATAATAGAACGTAACATCATGAATAGAATCAATATCAAAAATATTTGACATCATTTTGATCCCCCGCAAAACGTACACCCCAGAAATTCCGCAGACACCGCAAACCCCACGAACCCCGCAGAACATATAGACCCCACAAACCCCGCAGACACTACAAACACCACAAAGCCCCGCTATTCCGCAGATAAATCCCAAAAAACTACTCGGACGGCAGACCCCAAAACAAATTCCCTCAGACCCCACGAACCCTAAAGAACATACAGACCCCGCAAACCCCGCAGACACTACAAACAACAAAACCCTGCTGTTCCGCAAATCCCACAACAGCATTTCGAAGGGGCTCCAAATATTCGGAACATTTAAAGCCCCTAGACGGCCCAGAAAAGGACAAGAAGACTTTCGGCCGAAAGGCTAGGCCGCGCACAGCCGCCAAGACCGCAAGTGACGCCGGCGTTTTAGAAGCATAATAAATCTACTAAACTGACTAAATTGAAAAAAAATCAATAAGAATTTTATTTTAGTTACAAAATTTATCTGATTCATTTATCGAAATTTTAAGAACTCAATTATACGAGATAACAATCCAAGAGAGTTTTACGAAGAAATTTAAGTAATGATCAAATTAAATTGGTTAAGGGATCACGCAGAATCACGGACGCACCACCACGATTCCATTTATACGAACCCACATGCAGACAAGGAACTTCACGCGAGCCCAGACACTAACCCTGACATGCGACTTATACTTGGCTTCATTCAGCAAGCACTGAATTAGAGACTCCGCCCTTGAAACTGAAAAAGTTTACTATCGCGAGACTATCCCTACAGCTATCAAAATGATTCTAGTCACGATGCAAGACGCTTTCGGAGAAGGACCAAGTTACAGGGGGCGGGGTGCGCCCAGAATCACGGACGCAAGCAGCACGACACCATTTTACTACAGAATATTTGTGACAGGATTCTCTTGAAACTTTTGTCAGCAATGAAAATACAACTTAAAATATCGATGTTTGATTTCTTCACAATCTTGATAATTAAATTCATCGTCATTCTGAAATATACTTACTGGGTCAATGCCAGAATGATCATATTCGGCCTGAGAAATGATACCAAGAAGACCAACCGCATTTCTCTTTCTTCTTCAATTGACGCCAACCGTCGCACCAACCTGGCATAAAGCCATTTTAAGAATTTCAGATGAGGCGATGGGGAGTGATTACCACCAGTATTGCCAGTGTTCCATGTGGAAAGCTTCTGGGACCAAATCGATTGAGAAAGCAGAATGGGCAATGAGTCAGGAGAGCCAGCGTCCCTGATCCTTTCATAAGAAGGTGTCTGGACACGCTCACTGTGTTTCCAGGTTGTTGGCAGTCAACAGCATGTAAACTGAGATGCGGACAACGACCCCAATGGTGGCTCCCACTGCTGCAGATGTTCCCAAAGCCTCGTCCTTGCACCGTCGGAGCCCCGTTGATTCAGCACCAGTTTGCACATAAGGTCAATCGTGGCAGGGTGGCCTTTACTTTCTCGCGGCACTCCGAACCACACCTGCAACCCTGCCGATCCTGCCCCTCGTCGGTGGCATTTTGCGAATCATCATCGGGCGTCTCTCCTCGGTAAGCTCTGTTTTAAAGACCCACTTCTCATAAGATCTGCTCTGGATGTCTCCGAGGTCCCACGCCAAGGGCATCACCAACGGAAGCCGTGGTCTCTGCAGCCAGTGCGGCAAGAGCCTGGCAAGAGCAAGTGCTCGAGGCTCAGCTGCTAAGGCGAGGAGAGAGGCTCTGAACTCTGCAGAACTCTGCAGCCCGGCCCTACCGGCCCTTCCGCCAAGCTCCGAAGTTAGGCCTTCTGTCTTAGCATACATGCTGCGTGCTGCAACACCGACGACTGCAATGGCAGAGACATTGCATGCTCAGCCGTGAGAGATGCAAAGATTGCAAGACCAGAATGATTTTCAAGGACAGCGCGTCTGGCTTCAAGGCTCCTGCACGAAACCCGCTTCAGCCTTGATGTAGTCGCCCAGAGTTGGAGAGCTGACCTTCTTGCCAGTTGCGCTTCAGCAAGCCAAGCAGGGCAAGCAAGCTGCGGATCTCATGCCGGGTATGGCTCAAAGAACTATAGTATTCGTCATTGCAGACCGAAGTCGTGGTTGTGCTAGGTTATGTCGCTGCATACCAATGCCACGTCGTACCATTTTCGCGAAAACTCCGGCAGTTTGTGTACTGGAGCTACTGCAAGCGGGTGCTGCGCATCTGCTTGTCCAGAGGCAACGCTTTTAAGCGCGCCTTGCGCACGTCCTCATGCGGTGCATGGCAATATTGACAAGCTGAACCTTTGGGGCATTTCCCCGAAGAGGAGGAGAGAAAGATGCACGGCTGGCATCCGTTTGGATGAGATGCACTTCCGACAGACAAGCTCTGGAAGTCTTGCATGTACGCGCCGTAACCTCCACTCAATGCCTTCTCTGAAGCACCAGACGAAAAGTCTCCTGCAGCTCAATATCAGGCATCGGTTTGCTTTCAGGAACTGCAACGCTCAGGGTGGAAGCTCTCTAGGCCAACGTGAAATATCTCCATGCTCTCTCCCTGGGCTGGGATCCCAAAACCGCGGCTCCTGGTGGGCGCAAAGGCACCGATCGAAATTCCGGCGCTGAGCTCTGTAGGGGAGTTGGGTGCGGCGACTCAGCTTTGACAGGCTGCTCAGGGTCTCCTCGAAAGGGACCCAACTGGGCAGGGCGCTCATACAGTCCAAAGCTCATGTTGCAGCAGCTCCTTGAGAACTTTCCGCATCTGCGCTGAGGTCTGTTGGTCTCTGAGGCAGTTCATCCTTAGTTGGGTGCTGCACCGAGCGCATCTAGCTCAGTATCTCGAACAAGTGCGCTTCGTTCCGGTTCTCGCTCTCTCTATAGCAGCATCAGGACGAACCCACTATCAGGCTTGGGCGTTGTCCCAACTGCATGCTGATGGTAGAAGTGCAGCACCATCGAATGGCTCTTAACAGCGATGCGAGCAACTCTCACAGCACGCTTCGACATCCTGTCCAGTTGTGGTCCATTGCGGTTCTTTTCTCGCCCAGCTGAAAATGTCGCACCGCAGGCGAATTCGTGGTTTAACCGTCTGCCAGGTCGCCGGCGATGTAGCCCCATCCTGACAATGCGCTTCTTTGGATTGGAGGCAGCGAGAGCTCCGTGACGAAATGCACCCATTCGCGCAAGAAGCAAGTGCCTCGCGTGTCCAAACCGTTTCCATGCCTGTGGAAAACCGAAGCTCTTAGTTTCATTGAAACCATGTGAGCTAGGGTAAACTACTCGAGTAGGGACGTAAGTATGCAGATCTGCAACACTTGTTCCTGGCGGTCCTTCGCCGCCCGGGTTGTTAGCAAGCGCGATGGAATGTTGCCGCTTCTTTTGTCCTGCAATGCCGTGCAAAAAGTCCATATCATGGCTACTGTTACCATATCTATATGTGTATATATATATATAGAGAGAGTATTGTAGAACCATTAAGCAAATTTAATACATAAATAACAAATAAATAAATAAGTATATATATATATATATATGTAGATGGATAGTGGCCAAGAAGTGCACAGCCAGGCCCTGCTTGGAGTGGTGGGAGACATTAGACCCACGCGGGTCGCCTGGCACATTTCATGGTCTTGCAGCCTGTGGGTGTGCTACTTGCTACTTGCAGGGCACCGGCTCAGCACCAAGCGACAAGTTCTGGCTTACTACCGTAAAGAAAGGACTCCTGACTGGTCCGGAAAACACAGTAGAAACAGCTTTGGGGCTTGTTTGTCAACTGGTTCCCAACAGAAACGGGTTGGCAAGAGGTTAAAAGAGATAAATGATTCGCCCTGATATCACGAACTCATCCCTCTGCAACTGCCTGGTTCGCTTCTGGCGGCTCGCTCTTTGCCGCCTGCCCTTGAGGAACGAACTCTGGAGCATTCAAGTTGAATGTGCTGCTGGAGGAAGGTCGCGCATGGAAGACTCCTCCGTCACTTCAATCACCACACATCTTGGCATGCGTGCGAGCAGGTTCCATGGTGGCCAGTTGCCTGCCCTAGGATCCATGATGCCAGCGCACTTCGGGCATTACAGGGCTAATGGCTTTTCTCACTACTTCTGCTACTCCTGGCGGCCGGGATGGAGCTGTTGTCGGAGGCTTGTCATTGGACGGCTTGGGCTCGCCTTCGAGCGAGCCCATTTGCGTCCTCAACTGCAAGACTATATAGACAAGGGCGACATGCGACGTGCACTTGCAAACCTGTGCACAGTGCGGTCTCCAAATCGGTAGCTCTTCAATGGACTTGCAACACAAGTGACGGCTTCGTCCAGATACCAGGCGGCCTGGCGGGAGCCTCCGGGATTGGCTTCGTTAGCATTTGGTCTGAAAGTCGTGCGGATGGGGCTTCCCCACCAGAGACGAGAACCTGTTCGGCTTTGCAGCAGCAAAGCTTTTTGGATGCTTGCGCTGCTGCGAGCTGTTCTGAACATGCTGGCATGCGCTGGGGGTCTGTTGCGTTTGGAAGCCGTTCAATGACGCGACTACTGTAGATTCTTGTGATCGCGGCAGCTCAGGTGATGCAGCCTGCAGCTCTGCATACATACATGGGAATATGACCCTTCAGGTTCTGAGTCGGCGCACGTCCGTCGGTGTCAAGATCTACTGTCGGCGTAATGCTGCGTGCATCTGCGTGCTGTGGTGTCATGTGCTTGTCGACCATTGTCGACGTGGCCAGCAAGTGCCTAGGCCTAGGCTCGATTCTATCAGCAGGCTCCTGCTCTAGGATTCTAGGACACTGGATGATGGGCAATCGGGGGCTCCGACACCGAATAAACCAGAGGATCTCCAAATATTGAGTCCCTACCAGTGGAAGCTTGAACACAGCACGCTTTCAGAGCGCCTGCTCTGGAAGGTTGCCAGGGCGAGAAAAAAAAGGCTGCGGTGGCTGTGACGGAATGTCGCTGGATTCGGACCGCGTGTGAGTGCTCGCAATCTCACTGTCGCTGTCGACGTACCTGGGTCGCCGGAACTTGTGGCAGCTGCCGACATCTTTCAGCTATGTCCTGCTCTCCCTGCCCCACAGCTGTCTAGCGAGTCTAGCCGCACGCTTCACTGCAAAGCCAAGCCCCGCGAAGCATGAAACAAAGCTCATCACAACCGACTCGTTCGTGTCTGCTTTCGAGGCACGGGTTCCAGAACGCCTGACCACTTCGATCGCTTCTTTCCGATGCCTGAGACAGAACCCGACAATACGGAATCACGGTACCAGTAGCCCCCAAAGGCCATGGACACATTACAGTAAGCTGCAACAGCCAATGTCATGCATACATCACACATGTCATGGTGGAGGGATACAAGTCCAAACCGGTCCCGACGCAAAAGCAACACCCGGCCTTGGACGATGCAGGTTGCGCAGACTCTCCCGGCAGAGCAGAGGAAGCTCTGGGGGAGTGCTGCTGGGACCCAGATCCTCCGTGCAGGTCGCCGACGTCGTTGAGTGAAGGAGCATCTTGGTTGCTTCCGCCTGCGCTGCAAAAAGCGTGAATGACCAGAGGCCCCCTTCTCAAGTGCTTTCAGCTACGTTGCCCTGCCTGCTAGCATGCCCCGAAAAAAAGTCACCCGAGAAAAATGTCACGTCAGGACCGTGGCCGGAAATGGCATCTGGCATTCGACCAGCCGGAGGGCCAAAGCACGTCTGCTCCCTTACAGGCCAGTAGGTGCTACAGGTGTTCCAAGGGGGCTGGTGCTGGTGTGTCGGGAAGCATCTATGCTCGTGACTCGGGCTCTTCGACGCTCTGAAGCTATGAATTTGTTTTTCTTCGGTCACTGTAGCTGTGTGATGTGCTGTCTGCACTAGGACTTTGCCAGGAGCCTGCTGCTCGCCTGAGCCACCGTCCTGCGGAAGTGCATAAGTCAAGCTCCTCGTCCCGCATGTCTTCGATCGGGTTATGAGTTGTGGTCTGACGCCCTTCTCGAGCTGAATGGCTAGCGGTTACGGCGATCCCCCATGTCTGGCTGAGAGCGGCGCCGTCTTGTTGACCAATGCATTCGAGGAAGACGTTGACTTGGAAGTGTTGCTCTGGCTCCCTGTCTGAACCCAAGCTTGCGACGCATTGTGAGAAGCCGGGTGCACCCCAGCTGCCGCGGCAGCGCTGTGCTGGCTGCTGTGGCTTTGTTGTTTCGGACTCATGGAGCTCGATTCTGCAGAGCTGTTGGCCAAAGCACCTCGCGACATCAAAAAGGAAAGCTAAATTCATACAAACGTAGTACGTACACCATCAGCGGCGTGTTTGATGTCGGACTGCTGTGCACATTCACACCACAGCTCGACAACTAGTGCCCATGTACGCATACCAGGTACGCACACACACCTTGTCGTTCAAGTTTTACCATACTCATTACAGCAAGCCACTTTGCAAGCATGCTCACGAACGCATCAAAATCAGGGCTTGCCATGTCAGCACAAATCCCGCCTCCAGAGAGCTTCCGCGACCTAAACGTCTTGCAGGCTGTTTGCTTTGCATTATACAAAGAGGCGAGGGCTGCATCTTGAGGACTGTGAGTCTGATGCCGATGCAAGCAGTGGGCTGCAACAGCAACTCGCTTTTCCTGTGGAGTGGCCTGCGACCTTGTGCAAATTAAACGTGTTGCCGAGAGGGTGTTAAGGTCTTCAAAGCTGGCTTTGGGGAATCGGCTGCAGGAGCTTTGAACTCTCGTGGACTTTAGGGATGTGGTGGTGCTTCACATCATGCCCACGTACAGAGCTTCTCTCCGACGTGAGCTCAGAAGCTGGCACTTCTGTTCGAGGTGGCTCGCTGTGCAGCCTTGTTTGGAGAAAGACCACGTAGGACCTGAAGGTCAGGGTCATCTATCATCCACTGGGCATGCTGCAGCAAAGTCCAAGCGGAGCAAAAACCACTCCTCTCAAAATGGTATGGTCAGACTCCACAAACAGAAGAGTGTTCTAACAAAACCCTCTTCTGCTGGTTTTTAAACGCCCTCTTCTTCTGGTGGGTTGAAACCCCCCTTTTGAAAGTTTAATCAAATGCCAGATTTCAAGAGTCATCGAGCAACTCAGGCCAGGGCGAGAGGCTTTCAACTTCAGCGGCATCCTCTATGAATGCGGCTGCCCGTTTAGCCTGGTATTCTGCTGTGAAGGTGCAGAAGGATGAAGACTGTCGGCGCTGGTTTTGTTTCGACGACAGTGTCAAGCAGGAGTCTGATCGCATCTGACTCGATCAAAGTTCCATCATAACAGAGTCAAGCCTCCTTATGCGTGACTCTTGCAGCACACCATGTATGTTGCAGGGCAGTCAGTGGCTGAAGCCCAGCACGAATTGCCGAATCACCGAAACGATACGGTTTTCTCGACGGCACAGCGCACCTCCACGTGGAAAAGTGGGAAGGCAATCAGCCATCTCGGTTTTTGCAGAGATCGGCACTCCCGCTGCAAGTGAAAAACAAGCAGTCTCGCGCATGCTCCGAATATGATCGTCTTGGATTGTCAGCCGAAGCCCACACCAGAAGCCGAATGACATTTCCGACCACTATGCTGCAATTCTCGTCGTCTTGCGCAACGGAGTATGGTATCCGAGCTGTGGTACACTGTTCATGCACTCACTCACTCAATTGACTCATTGTGCTGACCAGGGTCATGCATCTTCTCTGCCACCTCAGCCGTCGTGTGACTTGCAAGCAGGCTATTGCATGCGGGTACGCGCATCGGTAACGCCTGGTCGCCTGGGGTCGACACCACCCCGACTGTTTGCTCACTCGTTCTTAGATTAACTGTTTCTGAAACCGCCACAAGGGCAGCACGCATCTTGTCAGTGATCTCCCTCTGAGCTGCCGGAGCTCAGGTGCTAGACGACTGAATCGCAGAAAGATAGTAAGAGTCTTTTGGCAATTACATCGCAAGGTCTGAGCAAACCATAGCAAATCCACTGTCAAATGCTTGGGCTCTTGCCCCATGGGCTCTGCGGGCTGGCCCGGTTCGGTTCACTAGGCGAACTCCAGCATGCTGGCTTTGAGCCACCATCGAGTGCAGGATCTGCACGTGGTGTGCAGAAGCTTTGCTAACTCAAGCAGAAATCCGGAGCAGCCTACTCGCACCTCACACACGTTTCTGCACAAGGCAATGCGAGAATCGATTCGCGGTGCTGCAAGCAACCGGCAGCGTGCCACGGAGATACAGCAGGCATGTCAGCTCAGTCCTGAGAATGCGCTTCAAACTCTTGCCGTCATGCTCGAAAGCCCAGCATGCTCGAGGGCATCTTTAGAACATCCCTGCTCGGTGCCTTCAGCTTCTCTTCTTCAAGCAGAGGAAAGCCATGTTCATGTCAAACTCCTGTGGGCCGCACATGTGCCAAAACCAACAAACAGGAGAGTGTCTGTAGCCGCTTGCAGTTCGTAAGTCAAACGTTGAACTACAGGACCAGCCAACATCCGGAGAGGTAGTGGCCGGTGGAGACAAGACCGAACATGACCTCCAGCACTCAGAGACACGTGCGCGCATGTGCGAACCTCTCGGACCTACACGTTCTGTGCAAGAGTCGACTCGAGACCATAAATTGACATCATGCGACTGGAAGAGGTTTCGGGCTTCTCCCTCACCGGAAAAGCCCGAAGGTTGTCTTGGCAGGCAACAAGTTTTTAGTTGGGTCGGTGGCTCCTCAGGCAACAAGTAGGAAATCATTCGCAAACGGGAGCTGCCACAGTGGAACGTGCCATGGCCCTCTCACGACATGGCAATCTTCTGCTCGCAAGCAATTTTCTTGTGTACCTGTTCATCGCTGCCTCTTCGGAATACACAAGTAGTGTGCTAAATCCGTGCGATCTCTGGCAAGTACAGTATGTCCGACTGCCCAGGCCAGATCTCACGTTTGCCTTCATTCCTTTGTTACAGATGGCAAGATGCTTCTTGCTTCCGCAGGAGTCTGTGCAGTGGACTGTGGCTACGCATGTCTGCTCCTTCTCGAGCTCTTGATGCTCTGAAACCGGGTCGAAGCCTGCAGCAGCCTGACGTCAGTTCATGGTTGGCTTCGTACCAGTAGCTACATGTCAGGACACGAGGAGTCGGTCACTGCACGTACAGTACGACCACACGGTCAAAGTGGGCCGTCCGATGGGTAACCCCTGCCGAGGGACGGCCAGAGCGTACATTCCGGCCGTACTCCAAAGATGAGCTGCGCCCCACTCCTGACAACGTGTGTGCTCTGAATATTGGCTAGTGAACATTGCCGTGGATCATGGTGGTTCTTCACAGTCTGAGAGACCGATGGGCTGCCTAGACGGTCGTGCTGAGACCTGTCAGACTGCGGACAGCAGTGACTGAGTGGATCCAAACTTGCCGCAGCTTTACCAAAGCATGCCTGGATTCGACCATGTGTGTCTGAGTCCTTCGGCGCACTGGGCATCTGCGCCCCGTGGGTGGGGCCTTCCCAGAACCTGGGACCATGGGCCGGCTGTGCAAGGTTGCCCCTTTGGGGCTCCTCCGGTGTTTAGAGTCCCATCTGCACAGAACGCATTTACTACAAAAGCACGTCCAATGAAGGAACAAGAGAAGCAAAAGGCTTGGCCCTGCAATTGCTTTTAAAGGGAGTTTTCAAGTACGAGCTGATTATCTGGAAAGGAGCACGGCAATTTCTTGCAGCAGACATCCCCAAGACTACCAAACCCAAGCGTCTTGGCTAGGACCCGAGGCTAAACTTGACAGCTCTTGCCCATGCTTTGTGCACAAATCCAATCTATCAACATAATTCCGACCCGGTAGACTCGATACAAGTACTGTCGACCAAAGCTCTTAACTTCTTTTGGATAGTTTGCCTCTACTCGTGCGAACTACAAGTTTAAAAAGTTAAGCACTGCAATGCCGAGCTGCGCGAGTAGGAGGCAACCACTTCCTGGATTCAGGTGGCTTTCGAGGAGATCTCAGAGCTCACTACCAAAGCTTGTTACGTCCACCATGGGAGTGGGCTCCTCTGAGTACGCGAGAAGCCTCCGCAAGAGCAGCTTTCACGCCCATCTCGTCCACATGGTGGAGTGCCTCTGACTCTCATGACTTTGCCGCCGTCGTGAAACGAAAATGCTGAGCAGGGACTAGACAAGACCATTGACCATCGTATCTTGAGCAGGAGCTGTATCTGAGACTGCCACGAACATGTTGATCATACCTGGCAAAATCGGATGCAACTCGTACCGCAGCGTGTCCAACCGCACAGGCAAAGGATTACACCTGCGCTCGTGCTAAAAGTCTGCGCAACCCAACGTCCTGTAAACGCATTCTCACTTTGCCTTTGCACTTTTATGACTTTTATGATCATTTTTGGACATTAATTTTGCTTGAGAGCTTCAGCCAGCATCGTCTCGAGCAACATCGCTAATAATATAATCGGAGTCCACAGTTCAACCAGCATCAGTCCACCCAATCTACCAGTATCAAATCCCTTTCACCCTTGACATCGCCAGTTCTGGCCTGCCAACTCGGCGTCTTTGAAGGCACCGGACAGATCCTGCCAGTACCACGAGCCGGCTACAGGCGTTATGTCTGGCTTTTCATGTTTTTGAATCTGTTTTTTCTGCGGGGTCATCAACTGATCGGGAGGGCCGCCAGGGTGTTGCGGCTAAGACTGTTAGTTGCCCACCCGCCAGAGCAAGACCAACGGGGCTTGCAGGCCTACACTGTTTGTCGTGCGAGGTCGAATCTCACTCCTTCGAAGACCCAGGTTAATGAAGGCACCAGTTGTTACGTTGTTAACAGTTAAGACTCTGACTGAAGCAACGGAAATTCGCCGGCATGTCGCTGCAGGCATCTTCGTCGGCTGATTCTATGACGGTAAAGAGCCACTCTCACACAGTTCACACAGGCGGCATGATGCGCACATCAGAAGCTCACGTAGCGATGCAGTAGACATCGACCAGAGACCCGAATGATCTGCAGTAAAGTGTCCGTCATGTCGGCACGCTGAAACTTTGCATCTGGAAGCCGCTTGGCAGCTCGATCAACCATGTCCTGTCACGGCTCCGTCTCGGAAGAACATCCAAGTGCAGCTTCTCTGCCATTCATGTGCCCGTCTGTGCAACATCGTAAAAACCTTATGAGGGTAGCACAACGTCAGCGAAAAATACATGTCCTGGCAAAGGTCGCTGCCCATGAGAGGCCGTTCTTTCTGGCGCTCCTGCTGCCAACTATTGTGGAGACTCACTGGGATTGACTGACCCAAACATCCAGGATCATGTGTTGCGCGGACTGTCTGAGTTGTCATTGGCTTGACTGTTGACCTCAAGGTACTTCGTCATGGAGATCTTAATCTCCTAATGCTTATCCTCTGACTGTCCTTCAGCATCGCCAAGACGTGCCCAGGTCCGCAGGACACGTCCGCCACTGGGCCCTCGAGTTCTCCAAGCCCTGTCAGGTATGAGCTGCAAAGCAGTTCGAAGGACGGATGCTGCACGTGAGTTGAGGAGCTCGGCCGTCAGCATGGCATAGACGTGCATAGACAGACGGTAGTTGCTCTGGGCTCTTGATGGGCCTGACAAAAGCATGTCCACAATCTTGTCGTAGAGCACTTTCTTATCGACCACCTCCTGGTCAAGCATCGACCTTGGCTGCATTAGCTCCTTGGCAGTCTTGGGCCTGTCTCCCAAAGGCATGGAAGAAGCAAGTCGTCACCCCGAGTACAGCGGCACCAGCACAGGAAAGGAGGGTTGAATCCTATCCCATTGAAGTGCACTATGTGCATCGTGAGCGAAGTCGAAACCGGGACCGACAGGAACGCGAATTTTGCTGTGACAACCTCTTGCCTCAAAATTGTTTGCATTTACTCTGCGGGAAACTCAGGGGTTCCGTGTGTTGATGAAGCAACCGACATCACAGGTTGGCCGTCTCCCTCTGTTGCTTGCATCCACCATAATTTCACACCTCGTCGCGACCGTCGTCTCCGGGCTTCCCTGAAAGTACGGGCGTGTCCCAGGCGTTCGAGTTGACGTGAGCCTGGCCTGCGCACTTCATTTAGCGCTCCCGCCGAATGGCGGTTCTGGATGCGGCAGAGTCGCTCGTAACCACCCGCTGACTTCCCGTATGAAGCGGCCAACTCTTCCTCTACACTCAGCCAGAGATGGCGACAGCATGCCAGAGCTTCTCTGAACAGGCCTTGCTTATCATCGTCTTGGGCTCGGAGGAGGCAGCATCCGCGTGCACATCGGAGGACATTGCTGCCAGAATGCTATCTTACGATGCTTTTCTCGACTATGGATTAAGGCGGCGTGATCAGTGCCGCGAGACTGCGCAACATCCACGTTGCATAAAAGCAACAACTTGTTCGGAAGGAATCGAGGCGAGCAGCCTGCAGCCTTCCATCCTGCAACTAACCTCGCCATGCAAAGTTTGATTGGCCAAACGGCTTTCATCGGCGACAATTCGAAGGCAAAACTCCAGGCAACATGCAGCATCTCAGCCAAACAACGCCGAAGATACGGCAGTGGAACGTGCAAGGCTTAGGCTTAGCACCGAGAAAATTTGGCTGTACCAACAAATAATAATGACCAGGGAGGCTGGGACTCCGCAACCTCCAAGCTATGAAGGCCCTTTTCGACCTACGCTTCTGCTGCACGTGGCACGAAAGGCCAACTGCAGATCGTGGGTCGGCACCAGGCCCCTTGCGCAAAGGTGGCCAAGGCCGTCGCCTTCCTCCGCAAAGCAGCATCCCTGCGTTGTGTCCCTTTCTCCCTTAACCACTTCTTCCTACTTACCTGGACCCTGCCAGCGTGAGGCCAAGAGAGCTCCGGCGAAAGGCTGGAGTCCTGCAGAACCTTGAAGCCAAGGCACGTCCTTACTGTCTAGTCAGATTCGGTCGTGCAGGGCTTACAGCATCAGCCGTTCTACAGTACTTCGCAAATCTAACTAAGGAGCGCCAGTCAGAATGGCAATAGTGCTTCCTTCACGCTGGTGCTCCAGTGAATGGCCGAGAGGTGGTACCAAATTGCCAAGCAAACTGTAGGCTCACAGGCACATGTTCTTGCCAACTTTCGCCCGAGGCTTGCTCCACCTCTCCGCTACTCCGCCGAGCACGCGAGGCTTGTTCGGAAATCTTATTGACGCAAGGCTGGTGCTAGGCGGCTGGGGTGGTGACATGACGTCTAGACAATCCTGGCAGCTGTCTGAAGCTGGTCGCCGGTTAGCAGGAAGTCATGGGAAAACTGCTGTTGATCGGATCAGGCCCCGTCATGCTCTTCCTCGATGCAACGTGCCAGCTCCTTCGGGCCATGAACTGATGTGAGTGATACAGTAGGGAGCCCATCTCCAGGAATCCATGAACAACCCGCAAAGGACCAAATTCTTTTCATGCATCCATACAGTGGAGGATTTCCTTATTTCCATGAACAAAGTCATTCAAGGTACGTTCTGCTGACAGCGATGCTAGTATCGATGAAAGGACACAAGCCTTCTGCACCTTCTCTTGGATCTCAGCGAGTGGCCTGGGCGATGCACAGCAGCTGCCACTGCAATTGCCTTGCGGTTGCTTGGCACACCTAATCTGTCCTGAACCCTGGAGCTCAGCGCCGCGCGCATAGGATGGGCTCTTGCCAACCTGCTAACATTGCATCGTGCCAAGCCGGCCACTATACAATTTTCCACATGGAATGCAGCTTGGGCTTCTGCAACATGTACTCGCACCCTATTACACCCCGTGTGTCATGGACGGGTGAACGAACTGAAATGCTGCCGGGCACCTGTTCCAGGAGAGACTGGACAGGTCTGAAGATTTCCTGCTCGAGAACCTGTATCAGAGTTGGAGTGCATCGGTTGATCCTGTACTTGGGCAATCAGTGCCTGAACAGTCATGCGCAGGTCGTACAACGTCGCCATCTTCAAGACTCGTGCCTGCCAGAACTCTGCTCTGACAAGATCCGGGCAGTAGAGGGACATGGGACGCAGCGATAAAGCAAGCTTTCGGGTGCAATGGGTTCAGTATGTTTTGAGCCTTCGGGCAGACGGGTATGGCCAACGTCTGCTTCTGCAGAAACCTGAGCCGCAGCATGTCGGATCAGAGCATCCTCCCGTTCCGTGATGCCGGCTTCGCCTACCATCTGCACACGAGTTGTTTAGGTGTTTAGCACGCTGATGCAGCAAAGGCCGGCTGATTTCAACTGATCCGAAGTCTGGTCGACTCCTGCTCTAGCCGCTAGCCCTTCCTTTGGCCGGGAGGCGGAGCCAGGAGACCCGTGGATTTCAAGGCTGACTGAAGGACCTGTGCTGAGAAAACGACCACCCACTCAAGAAAGCCTCCAAACTTACAGAGAAAGCGGAGTGACCGCCTCCTCTGCCAAACGAACAATTCCCAACTTTGAGATCACTTCTCTCACGCTGCAGACTCCGGCACCTCCGCAAGATCCGCAGGATCAGACTGCACCCGCTCTCGAAGCTCTGTGCCGACCTGGGTGCAACTTCCAATGCTAAAACTCGCATGTCGTCAAGAAGCTGTCCCTGCCGTGTTCGATCCTAAGCACCATGCTTCCCGTGCATAGTTGCTGAGCCTCGGATTGTGCTGGATTCTTGGGCATTCACACAGCGGTGTACTCTGGAGCAGTGCCTCATTGCAAGGCAGGGATGGGAAGGGGCCGAGGATGCACATCGTGGGCGAGAAGCTGCGCATCCCTTCGCTGCTTGAAGTTCGCACTTCATGCGGACAAGGTCAACATGCGGCTTTGCGAGTGCTTGAGAACTTGCATAATATGGAGTATACAAGAGTGGAGTCTACATGTTGCGGATCGGTGGCCGACGAAGCACTTCTGCGGCTTTCTTGCAACCCTTGCCGAGAACTCGGCAAAAGTGTACCCCCACTACAACTGGACTGGAGACTTGGGCGAATGAACACTTGGGACTAAAGCAGCCGCGAGGGCCATGGCATGTCAGCTACCCGGTACCCAGGCACCATGCCCGAAAGCTGCTGGCGGGTAGCAACGTGTGGACTCTGCTCTTTGCCTCTGTGGACACCGCCGGAATAAGTTGCCGGTTGGCCTCGCAATCATCTCAAGCCGTACATTAGCTTCAGCGACATGCATACCGTATGCAGCAATACTGTAGCGATATCTTGTCGAGCTGTGTCGATCCTGCAAGAACTCCCTGACGTTCTGCTGGTGTGTCAAGATCTCCGCCTCAGAGTCCACTCAACGATTCATTCCGGTCCGGTGCAGTACGATGTCGGGCTCGGCCGCCATGCGCTCTCAGATCCCCTGAAGCTCTGACATTCAAACGCTGGAGCACCTGTGCACCAAAGCGCACACGCTTCAACTAGATTAGATGCTAAGGACAGTCTGCTTGCGAGTAGGCGCCTTGTGGTTGTTATTCCGCTGCGTGACTTGCCTTTAACACGGCATGCACCAACTTGCCTTTAGCCTCTGAGTCTTCGAGATTCGGCGAACTGGGCCTCCTGATGGCGGCCTGTGCTGAGTCCTCTTTGCTGTGCCGGCGCGGCTCAGGAGGGCTCACCGACCTCACAAGGGTCTCGGTGCCCGACGTGCGCTGCCTGGCCATGCCTTGCCGACACCGAGGATTCGGACTCGTCGTCGGAACCATCTGAATGCTGCGACTGGTCCTCCGAGAAGGCTCTGTCTTTGTCTGTTATTGCTTCAAGATGTGGCTCGTCCCCTCCTTTCCCTCCGATGCGTCGTCTTTGTCAGCTTCGGCAGGTTCAGGTCCCTCCTGATGCAGATGCACACTCTCTCTGTCTCTCTCCCTCACATTGGCTCACGGCTGCAAGTGTCTCGTCTTCTTGTGCTCTGCTTCCCCAACGTGCTTCGTATTATGACCACCCAGAATCCTTATGTTGCTGCATGCCAGTCCTCATAGAAGCAAGCATGGGGCGACGTATGATTTCGTCCCTTTCCAACCCCCCCCCCCGAGAGCTGGTTTGTACACAAGCTAACACTCTCCGCTGGCCTTACCAGCCCTCCCGTCCTCTGTTGCTATCCCGTCTTCTGCTGCAAGCTTGTACTTGTAGAAGTTGGGAGCAAACTCCCCGCCAGGTGTTCAGTTATTTGCTTCAGGGTGTTCAAGGCTCTTACACTCCCACACTCTGACAAGCCTGGCAAGGTCTGCTAATATGCAAGTCTTCGGCGTTATCATGCTTGATGGACCGGTTCACCCATGAAAGCGCAGCTGTCAAAATCTGCTGAAAGAAGCCCAGAAACAACTTCCACCCATAATTACGAGCATAACCTGATAGCAGCCCTGCGAGAAGGATCAAACGGAACCACAAGACAACACGCCCAAACTTCCTAGTTCGTATTGAGAAGAGCTCGTGAAACAACTCGCCTAAACCACTAGGCGTGAGCACGGCTTGGAATCCATCAATCTTGCAATCCTCCACGCAGCAAAACGGCGTCGAGTAGGCTTTGCACTTTTTTTGGCATCCAAAGCCGCGACGAAAGTTGGCATGTCACGCAAACAGAAGTACAACCGTCTTCCCGCAGTCCCCAAAAGCGGGCTTCCAACCCAAAGCCAACTGATACTCCCAAACAGCTTGTGGAGCTGCCGGGCTTTTAATCAGGATGAAGATCAGAAGGCAGTGAGCACCAGAAGGTTCAGGGATTGAGTTGGAAGCGCCAATAATTCGGAACCATGGCTGTGGGAATCATTGAAGTTAAACACGGTTGCCCTGCACTGACCGGAAGTAAATCCGCAGTGCTCCTGTCGTCCATACAGCCACAAGAAGTTCATCAGCGACAGCACGCATCACCCCGAACACGAAGACGGGACTGCGCCTGTGGCGGCAAACCTGATGCGACTCCCATGCTAACTAAATACGCAGAGTTACGGAGAATGCAATCCTGGAACTTCGTGGCTGCCTCCGCTGCTAGCAACTGCGCACCGGCTGCAAGCGGCTAGGGAAAATGTGCCACTGGGCAGCCGCCGGCATTTGCTGCTCGCGCCAAAGCCCTGCAAAAGTAGTGCCTCCATGCCAGCCGGCTGTGCAAAAGAGATCCTCTTCCTTGCATCACGAACTCACTATGCCTGAGGTTGATTGAGGTTTGGGGCTGTCCCTTCTTAAGCTCATGTACTTCTCGCAGGAGGGCACCCAGGAAATTCGGAAGTCTGGAAGAAACCATATGCGACAAAAGTTCTGCTTGGAGCGCTTCAGAGTCGGTCTAGGCCGGCGCCGACAGCTTCTGGAATCCGGACCGATTTAGGATTGAGGCTTTAGGGCTCAGGCCGGTATAAAGCTCTTAGTCGCTTCGCTCTTGCGCTCGAAGCAAAAAGCCGCTCCTTGCAAGGACTTCAAGGGAAATCCAGCAACTAAGGGATGCCGCATGTAGGCCCACGGCAATTGCTGTGACTCGTCTACCATTGTTATCATTCTTCATTCGTCTTCGTCGATTCGGGAAATACTTACTTTCTGCGCGAAGGATGCCCAGTCACCAGGTCAGAATAACCAAATGATAAAATTCGACTCGGACATGGAGTCAGGGGCAAAGGCGACCCTCAAAGCGGTAGTTGCTCCAGGGATCGCTGAAAGCTTCAGTTGCTGGCTGCAGGATCAAGACTTCACCTTTGAGCTTATTTCTGTACCAACCTCGCTCAGACACCACGGCACAGGGCCGCGGTGAGAGTCGCCTTCTGCCCACAATGTGGACTGTTGTCGAAATTAAAAACAAGTGCCCTCACGCCACGTCCATGGTTGAACCTGATGCAGAAGCTTAGCTACAGATTCTGGACCGTATGAGGCCTTTGAGGGAGGATTGAAATGGCAAGGCATTGCCTTAAAATCAACTAAAGGGAAGGGCCCTCAGCCCTACATCTCTACAGAGATGCGGCACTGTCAGCATCGACGCTTAAACCGAGTCTTGCTAGCATCGTTTCGACGCCTAATGCATGCAATAGCACTTGTTCCAGCTTTTCGCCACAAGCCTGAGCATGCCTTGCACAGCCGCCGATCACCCATTAATACCTCGCTCCCTTACAGCCTGTGAGTGACCCTAAACCCTATTACGCAGCTGACCGTGCTTGGATGACAGCCCGTGCTCGAGTGAAGAGCAAAACGACCTGGTCAGCAAAGTTGGTGTCGACCTTCGGGTGGCCAGCCAGGAGCTCCATGAGACGGGAGGTATTCATCCTGCGAAGAGATCTGTCCAGCAGTTCAGCCTTCCGCCAGCCCAACCGTTGGATGGGCGAATCGCACTGGAGTCGACCCTCCATGAGCTCAACGACAGGGGCAATGTCAGCACCGATTCCCTGCTGATCGGCACGATGCTTTAGGTAAGGAAGCAGCAGGGACAGTACCTGGAGCTCGTTGAGCTTGTCGTAGCACTGCCGCTGCATCTTGTCGAGCTTCATCTTGGGCCTGGGGTGCTCCAGGTGGCAGAACTCGCAGGAGGAACCTTTTGTGCAGTTGCCAAAGCGAAAGAGGACACACGGTCTGCTGCATGCCTCTGGGTGTGCAAAGCTGCCGGCGACTCTCGGCAGTGGCGGCCTGACCGTCCATCGGAAGTTCTGGGCCACGCGCTCGAGGAAGTTGGACAGGTGCGACTCAGCCTTCTGCGGCACCAGCTCCTCCCCACAACTCGGCATTGAAAGGTTCGGCGCGCTCTGCGATCGAGGAAGCGGGTGATCCTCCGCCGCCGAAAAGTGGATGAAAGTATTGCGGTACATGCGTTGCTCCATGGTCTCTGGCGTTTGCTTCGGAAACCGTCCAATAAAAACTTGAACACGACGCTTGAGCCGTAGGTTCAGGGCTTAGCGTTCCGGTTGCTCACAGTTTAGGACAGAGACCCGCGACTCAGGCGTGAACCGACACTTTGTGCAGAGCACACGGTCAGGCTCCGTCCAATACATCTTCTGTGCCCGAACCACGGGACCAGCCTCTGCAGTCTCCGTCTTGGCCTCTACGGCCTCACGCTGCTTGGACTTTGTTGGGGGGAGGAGGCGCGATCCATGTTCTCGGCAGTCGGTGCTAGCAACCTGCATGATGCCTGCATGCACTGCCGATGTCCCTCCACCGCCGCGATGGCAGCAGACATCGCCGCATTGGAGGCACTGGCAGCTGCTAGCGAGGCACGGACCTTGGCACGAAACAATGCCTGTGGACGACACGAAGACCCACCAGCTACAGCGGACAAACCGACCTTGCTGATGGCCTTGGGCCCGGCAGCCACAAGGTTCAAAGAAGAATTAAAAATTCACTGAGCTCCTTTGAAACCGGCTGCTCATGCTACCAAGCCATGTCCGAACAGTTCTTGCTTTCGAAGCGACGGCAGCATTGACAAAGCGCTCGGCTGCTTCAGAGGCCTGCAGAACGCAACTATGTCTTGCGCTTTTCGAAAGGCAGAGCCTTCCAGCTGAAGGATCATTCGCGCTTCTGCCTCGAGGCCCTCTGGTGCCTGGAGCTCCGCCGCCGTAGTCTCCGTGACCTGCTCGACTCACATCGACTCGAAGCTTCAGGCCGCTGCGGCTTGCGGCTTGCGGCTTGCGGCTTGGGAGGGTCAACGTCTTCTCTTGCAAGGTTTCGCTGGCCTCCGCACACGCCAGGGCCGCATTCAGGGCCTCGAGGCCAAGCCCCATCGCCTCCAAGCCGTTCGCACTCTCAGGGTCTCCGCGAGGTCTTATCTCAGCAGCTTCAGAATTGGCCTCTGTGGAGCTTTCGGCACAGGAGGCTTCCGTGAATTTCCTTCAGACAGGCGTCAAAGCACAAGAGTCATTGGTCATGGGGAAGCTTCAGCAGCAGGCCTGGACGCTAGGCGGCACTGGGCTGCTACATCCATAGTAGCATAGCCCACCACACGAACGGCTTTCACAACGGTCAGTGTGAGGACCTCCGGTGGATGTCATCTGCTGAGCTCCCGTCTGCATCACCATCGACAAAGTGCCCGGCAATGGCCGAGTGTGCAATGGACTTGGTCAAGGTGATGGCGCCACCAGAGTCACGACCTGAAGAGCAGCCTAATCCGCCTCAGACAAAAAACAGCTGCCGTGGATGCGGTTGGGTGGCGAAGGGTTTAGTACAGCAGGCCCTTGAGCTGAATATGCGGAGCAGCAGCATCATGTCTTAGTCACTAGGTAGGCAAGATGTAGCGACGCGCGTTTTGCATTGGAGAGTGCTTTGAAAATCAGAATGCAGGAGACACAGGACACGGCTGTGAACTCAGAGCGCGTTGTGATGCATCCCCCAGGGGCAGCGACATGACTCATGGCGGTGACTCTTTTTGCGGTTCAGGTTGGAAGATGGGATCGTGCCAGTGCATTTTTGTCAGCAGGGGGTCAGGTCAAACAATCGATGGTCGTCGACATGATGGAGTGCGAAAGCCTACCTTTGGACAACAGCCTGCTTCCGAAAACAGCTGCGATCAAGCATGTGCAAGCTGAGCCGCGATTTCGGAACTGTGCGATAGAAACCCGACTGAGCCCTTGCGGCATCCCCGAACGGGAGGTCACACTCTGTCTTATAATTCACAGCAAATGGTGCTTGTGAAAATAACCTTGGCTGTTGACAAAATGCTGATTGGAACTGCGTGTGCTGCTTGCCAAGATCTTTCCTTTTCTTTTCAAATCCAAATCATTCTCTGCCCCTTGGGCATGTCAAAACGTTCCGCGCTGCCGTGCTGAGGGTTTGAGCAGAGAGCGTGCATCTCCAATTTGTAGCTCTACGGCTTGCAAGTTAGCCGTAACTTCATCATTCTCTTCAACTGCACAATAGGTGTGCGTTTGGTGTGCCTTGTCCTAGCGAGCGGGCGGCCGAAAACTGACAGCAAGTCTAACAGAACAGTCAGCGCCGTGAAGACAATGCAACACAAAATCTGGTGCATCACAGTCTGAGCAGATCGAGTCTAATCAAGTTCCAGTCGTTGTAAACCCCTGCCTTGTCGCGCCGTTTCCGCTGCTTCTGCGGCCTGGCTACTAGGTGCGCAACACGTCGTACGTAAACATGTGGGGCTGGGCCCGACTGCCGGAACCCGGGCTGCACCTGGTGGGCGAACTCGGCAGCTGTCTTGGCCTTCGATCGCTGCAACTGACACTGCCACAGCAAGTCTGTTTCAGGTATTGATCTGGCATGGAGGTGAGAAGGACAAAGAGAGGAAGCCACTTGTCGTGAAGCCGAGGCTCGTAGTGCGAAGCCTCGTCTGCCGCTTTGGCTGCCTTGGCCAGTAGCTGGGCATCGGAGCCGTCCTGCATCAAGGCAAACAAGTGGGGGGGAACACCTCACTTCCTTCCTGGCATCTTCATTGGAACCTCTTCCGTCTCTTCCGCTTCAGCGCGCTCCGAGGAGGCCTCTTTTTTCTCCTGTCAGGCTTTCTTTTCGGGTTCAGGGATTCCCACTCACGACGAGGTTCATGGTCCATGGTTCGCAAGTCAGCAATGTGAACACACAACTTCCAGGCTCAGCTCCGCCGACCCTCGTGGCCCTAGTGGAAAAGTTTAGCTAAGCATTACGAACAAAGACTGAAACAAACGCGATGCACTGCCGGGCTTCCCTGGAGAACCGTTGCTGCGCTTCACTTCCCCAACTACCGCCACTGCCGCGACTGCGCCCCAGAATCCGTTTGACTCAGTCGACCCCATGTCCCATAACTGAGGCGGAAATTGAGGGCCAAGTCTGTGGAGCTCAACATCATGCCTGGTGGTTCTCCTCAGGCTTCTCTTCCGTTTCCTGAGTCTCCTCTTTCTCTTCCTTCTCCTTCTCCTTTTCTTCGGCGTCTGGATCTTCGTCACTGTCAGCTTCGCGCTGCTTGCCTCGATGGGAGAATGCACGAGCTTGATCGGGGAGACGGATCTCTAAGCGGAGACCTGGATCTGCAGCAAAGGCTCGGGACTTGCCGTCAAGATTGGCTGAACCTGGTGACTCTTCTTCCACTGCTGTAGTGAATCTGTGGCGCATACACAACTCTTCTTCGGTGCTCGCTTTTCTGCTACAGATTGCTATTAAGCGGGCAGCATGCGGGCGGACGCCTGACACAGAACCAAGTCGACCGCCAAGGAACTCCTTCGCTGCTCCATGATCTTCTCGTAGGCCTCGTGAAGTTCCTGGAACTCCGCCTTGTCGCCACCTGCACAGAGAAGAGCCCACCTGCTGCTCTGTATTGATATGTATACAGCCGTCGTCGCCGCAGCAATCGCTGGTTGCTGGAGCAGTCGAGCAGTCGCAGTCGTCGTCCTTGTATGTAGTAGAAATACTAATGGTAACACTGGCACTCTCTTTCACCAGATCACCAAGCACTGGTTGGCAAGCCTCACCGCAAACCGCGAGCCCTATGGAACGAATTTACCTTCACAAAGCTGGTCAGTCGTACATGGGGGGTCGTCCTATGTGGGGTGTGACAGTTCTGGGCCTTACAGTAGAAAGCCAAACCCGCGACCGTACCTTTGTCTGGGTGACACTGCATCGCGACAACGCGATATGCCTTCTTGATTTCCTCAGGCAGCACTCCGTCTTGCGCTCGGGAATACTGGGGGCGTCTTGTGCTTGCTTGAGGCGGGTTGAAGGTGCAGCGAGGCTCCGCATCAGACGCATCCGGTGACACCCCAAGGATGGAGTAGGCAGAGTTCTCGTGGAGCCGGGCGATTTCTGCCACAATCTCGCTCTTGAAGCACATCTGTCCTCGGTAGTCTTCAGATTCACTCAAGTTGGACTTCTTAGCTCGAACCAGCCTGAGCTTTGGCGTCTGTGATACTCATATCTGCCTCGATGTGCCGAGTGTCTGAGGATGTACTCATCCAAGGCCCGATTGAGCTCCTCGAGCCTCTGGACCGGCAAACTGTCTGCCTGCAGCTCTTGCAGACGGCAGGATGACCCCCCATTCAAGAATCACGTATCATGAGAGGTACTGGCAGCATCTCAAAATGCTGCGATGGGTCAGCCTGCAGGTACGGCTGATTGAGAATCTGTCTGGCAGGCCTCCTGTGCAGCCTGAGACGGCGTCAGTTCCAACCTTGCCAGTGGCAACGTGTGTCTTGCTACACCTATCCTCGGCAATGATAACCGTCAAAATGCTTTGTAGACCAAGATGCTCTCTGACCAATGCGAGGTCGTCTAGGACGAAGGGCACGGATGAGATCTGAAAAGCAAGGCAGGCATCAAGCATTGCGAGATGTGGACAGCTGTGTGGCGTTGAGCTGCATAACGCAGCAGCCTTTGCAAGCACGCGTGGAGCAAAATCTCACGTGGTGTGAGAGAAACTGAACTATGTCAGCAGCTGCTGTGCGTTCTCTCGGCTGTCTTGCGGAATGCACGCCACTGGCGGTTAACTTGTGCCTGTGAGAACTCGAGCATGCTTGGTATTATGTGCATCGAATGAGGCGCTGACCCGAAATTTCAAGTCAGGCACTGAAAAACCTAAACTTCGGGATCAAGAGACGTACAAGTAGAAGCCCACCACATCAGCTACGGATTCACACCACCTGCATATGCATGTTGTTCAACGAGGGCCATGGAGTGAGTCTTCAGCACTGTGTTCTTGCTATGGCCGAGTCCTTAGGACGATGGCCACAACCTATTTGCCTTAAAAGCCTCACTGCTCAGCGCAAGGCACAGCGGAGACCACTAGCACAGCCTTTCAGCCGGATAGCTGCAGCACTACCTGGTAGTCTGAGGTCATCTTAAGAGTGGATAGGGAGGAGCAAACACATGTCCGACAAACAATCGCAAGCGCAAGTGCGAAAAATGCATACAGACCTCCGTGCCAGAGTGCGGCAGTAACAAAGCAAGTGTATGTTAAAATCTGCAAATAATGCCTCGGCCACGGATGCCGGGAACACCGTGAGTGAATCGGCAAGGCAGCTCAAGAACTTGTCAAATTGGAGGCCATCCGCCTCTGATGACGATGATGAAAGTCACCGCACAAAATCGTCCAAAGCGTGCACCCAATTGAAGCATCCTAGGTTTCCCAGCGGACCAAGTTTCACCTGGCTTGCCGGGACCCTATTAGGGAGCCCTAAGCATGACCGGAATACCGCATGCATCTTCCACGCTGTGAAGACTACCGCGAGCCCGCGAAGGGTGATCTCACGGCTTTGGCACATGCTTGGACTTCTGCAGCCGAAGTCGGCGCTTCTTCTCTCCGGCATCGCAGAGGTGGCAGAACAGGCAGGTTCGGCCTGCAACAGCTTGCAGGAACATGCAAGAGCCGCGGCACAGCTCCTCCTGCTCTTTTGCAAGATTCGCTGCTGATGCTGGCTTGGGTGAATGCCTTGCCTGCATCGTCGAACATTCAGTTTCGAAGCGAGTGAAGATGAGAGAGATGGGGAGAGGGTCTGCGAGGGAGAGAAGGAGGGAGGGAGGGAGGGAATAGAAAGAGGGAGCTACTCCGTCAGTCTCAAGGCCTGTCACACAGCGGTTTTTGTGGAAGAAGGCGCAAGGTCGACATTCACCAGTGGCGTGGGCACCGGAACCAACACCTCGGCGGCATATTCAATCCGGACTCATTTCTGACCGGAGCAGAAGCTTGAGTGTGCGGGGCTATGCCAGACCTGGAAAGCAAAGAAAAGACTGAAGCAGGCGAGGCACTTGGAAGTACTTCGGAACCCAGGACCGGTGAGCTCACCTGCCAAGCGGGCAAAGCCAGGTCGTCAATATACCCTCATTCCGCTTTCGCTAGCTCGTTAGCCAGCCTGAAGAGGTGTCGCAACGGCAAGCTGCTTTGCCTTCGCACAGGGCTGTTCCTGAGACTTGTGACTTGTGACAACACATCCGGCCTTGAGGTGATCAGGAGGCGCATAGGTCGGCGTGATGTTTTGTCGGACCTGAGCCTGTGCCAATTGCAGCCGCGATGCTTGCACCCTGCGGTGGTACTCCGCTGCAAGGGCTTGACCTGTGCTGGCCACTGATGGCACAGCATAGTAGGTCGTGCTGCAGGTCGGTGCGGCCGCAGGAGTTGGCCGGTAGGGGCTTGCACCACTCTTCAATGGAGTCCTGGCCTTTGCTGGCTCTGGCGCAATGCATGCTGCAGGTGAGGGCTGAGGGGTCTCTTCCTCGTGGAAAAAGCGTGGAGATGGCTCTGGCGTCTGCATGGCATCGTCTTCGTCAACATCATCACCGCATACGGTCTGGTCATCACCATGCTCGCTGGCCGGGCATGAGCGTATGCCCCTGGTGTCCTTGTACCACTGCTGCAGAGAGGGCGAATCACTCAAATCAAAGAAGGTGTTCCGAACTCCCAGCAAAGAGTCCTTGGACTGACAAGTCGCAGGACGCACGGTCGTGCAAAATCTCCCTTCACAGGCTAGCATCGGGGCCGTGAAACAATGCTGGGCATATCGAGTGCTGGCTGAAACTGTCCGGCGAAGCACTGGAAAGACATCGAGAACTCTATGAACTCTACTGTGCCAGTTGAAGAGGCTGAAATACGGGCGATGCTGCTAATGTTGTATTGTGTTCATGCAGGACGGCCGGCGCAGGACATGCCTTCGTCGTCTTTCGCTGTAGAGGGGCGGGGGTCGGGGTAGCGGGGGATGATCACACCATCCGAGTGCCCGCACACGGCACAATGCTTCAACAGCAACCCTGGCCCTCGCCCCTCTCACGGACAGTTGGCATTTTGGTTTGCATTCTTTGCAAAATGGTGCTTCAGGTTGAATAGGGCACTAAAATGTTCTTAGAACCTGCGTTTTGTGCGACATTCAAGGAGTTTTCGTACTGTCCTACCACAATGTCTGGAAAAGATGAGCCCCTGCAACAGCGAGTAGGAGTAGCAAGGAGGAGTCGGAAGGCCTGGCTTCGGCTTCGCCTTTGTGACTTTCGGACCCGGTTGGCCGATGTTGTGGAATGCCCGGCTCATCATTTCGTTTCACCGCTTCTGATGCTGCTTCCATGCAAGTCAAACCTCCTCCTTTCCAAGTAAACTTGATGAAGTTCGTGACGGGCATGCCTGTGTGTAGACATATATGCACGGAGAGGAGCCTGTCCAAGCATACAGTCAGTTGAGCCAAGTTTCCTCTTTTCGCTCCACATTAGCGGCATCCACAGTATCCCACTCCGGAGCTGGGATCTTGGAGACGACTTGCTGAACATGACGAGCCAAGGTGGAGAAATGTGCCGCCATGGCCTCACATCTTTTCGGTCCGATGCACAGACCCTCTACATTACCGAACCTGGCGAGGCAAACAGAGGCGGTGGCCGCTCAGTCCAAGCTGCTGAATGGACGAGAAGCGCGAGGTTGAGCACCTCCTTGAGAATCAAACGAAATTCCGGGTCGCCCACTTGAGCCAAAAAGAAGCTTCGAATGTCTGGCATTCCGTGCGACAGGTTCATCGCCCTTACAAAGCAGGTCTGGAGCAAATCATGGCCATTCATGAGCTGACCCGTGATGGTTGAGAAGTGGCACATCTACAAATGCAATATTCACAAAGCTGGGTCGACTCACATCTGCGTCGTGTGACTCATCAGAGTATCTGACATCCTCAAGGCCCTCACGGCCCTGATCCCCGGCCACCTCCTCTGCTGGTTCGGGCGTGAGGGGACCGGCTTCTCCACAGAATGCACGGATGACCTCCATGGCTACCTCGTCTCGGAGACTGTTGAAGCAACGGCTCCAACTGAAGTGACTGTGCCTGCAACTTCAGGTAGCCCCGTGCGGGACCTCCCCTGCTGGGGTGGCCCCGAAGGCACTGGCGACGGTAGGCCAGGGAGACTTCCTGCAACGAACTCAAAACTGGAAGGCTCCACTCCGTTCGCATAACTTAACGGCTTGCAGGATCTGAAGTAACTCTCATAGGTCTTGTGACCGTGATGTACACATCTGTTGCAAGCGACACGTCCTGAGAGGACTGCATGTCGAAATTCTACTATGGTCATCACTACCAAGGGCCGCGCTTGTTGATGCATTTGTTGTCAAATGAAAGTGAATACGAAAAACACCTGTGCACCCAATGTTGTGTATGTAGCCATACATATTATGTACTTCAGTTTGTTGCGCTTCTTCAGGAAATGTTGCAAGCTATGCCCCTCGAACACTGTGGCCGCCGGCCTCAACCATGACACTAGACCAGTCACCTTCCCTGACGTCGCCGAAGCCGAGCAGCTCAAAGGACTCCTCGGCCACGATGGCCCCAAAGCAAGGCGGTTTCCAGAATTCTCGTTAGAGAAGACATATATCCATAGCGCTTTGGGGATTGATTTCGGGAAGCTTGAAGTGCATTGGCAAAGCCATGACAGACAATTCGAAGACGACCGCCTGATGCAGAAGTTCTCGGAGCTGGCCTTCACCGCATCCGCTGGAGACTTGGAAAATATCTCCTGATGGAGCCAGTCGGCTTCGTTGTATCCGCCTGAAGACACTCATGCTTGAGAGCTCGAGCTCAACCAAACGAGACTAGACTACCGTGAAAAATGTCGCACAAATGCCATCCAGCTACCCACGATGGCACCCAGTGGCCCTCCAAGCACCTGCAACACAGGAACATCTGCGAAGAGGCGACGGATCCCCACAGCGTACAGCCCCCTTGATGATCCAATGTGTGCACCGAAAGGCCGAACCACCAACTGCAAAGTCCACATCACATCCTGTCGAAAGAGCTCGCGAGACAGAAAGGGGCTTACTCATCTCCGTCTCTCTTCTTCCACTCCGACAGAGGAAGGCAGGTTCGCCTACCCTCCCCGCTTGCGCTCGCACCCTGCTCTCAAGGTCAGTTGGATGAGGCCTCGCTTCTGAACTCTTGGGACCCACTGAACATCAACTCTGATCAACCGTCTACCTTCTTCCACACAGACAAGAAAGACACGGGTGCACCCCTCCGCACACGCGCGCAAACATGATTCCCTCCCTTCCGTTGAAGGGGCCATGTCCGTTTTCTTCGTTCGCTCGTTCTTTGCAGGGCCTGGAGGGAAGCACCCCTGCCAGGAGGCCCACCCTCTGTCTGCCAGTCTGCTGTCCGACTTGGTGAGAACTGCAACTCTGGGACGCTCAGTTTGCAGTTGCTTTTGGCCCTAAGATCGGCCAACCTCAAGCTCGCAGCCACTGGAGAGCTTGAAGTTCGAGAGCACCGTCAGTGCCTTGTCCATCACCACCTGGAGGCCAGCGGCCGAACGCCAAGCGCCCAAAACACTACCGTATGGCAGATGCTACCGCAACTTGAAGAAACACAAATCGTGTCCAGTCTTTTCATGCGCACTGAAAATGGCTACTCTGTACTCTTAAGTCTTAGCCTTCAAGACCAAGCTGCGTGGGAGCACTGCATGCCCTCAGTGAGGCCCAGCAGCCACCGGCGCACTTCACTTGTAATCTCTGGACCGAGCTCGGATCGCTCCAGGCTGCCTGAAGCGATGGCTCGTGGCAGTAGGAACCAGGGGACAAGGCGAACACATGATATGTAATGGGCTATTCTTACATTATATTTGATGAATCAAACACCGGCAAGAACGGAGTTCGGGCTGTGAGGCTCGGCTGAAGCACTCTGTCGATCCATGCCGTCCAAACCGAAGCCAGCCTTGCCTCCACCTGTGCTTTGTGGCCGCCGCCAGTCGCAACTCACAGATGCCCTGAGAGCAAATCTGCTCAAAGACACCGGGTGAATGCCACACAACGACCTCCGCCTGCACAGCATCGCCAAGCATTCAAAAGCCAGTGAGTGTAATGGAGCTGAGGGGCACAGCCGCCGGCTGGGCGCTTGCTGGACAAGGCTCGCATTGCAAGTGGCCTGAGCTAGGACAGATGCTTTCAGCCTCATGAAAGCAAAGGTGTGCAAACATTGGCTAGGCCTGGTAAAGAATCAGCTGCTGCATGTCTGAGCTTCGTGAATCCATGCCTATCCCCGGTTCGCAAAAACAGTCGTGGCCGTTGCAGGGCGCAGTTCCGCTCATGTGGCTTTGAAATGATCCTGACCGACAAAGCCGTGGGATGGTCTGTTAAATGCAGATTCCTCAATCCAGGAGCTCAGGACGACACGTCATGAAGGCTGAGGATCCCGCCAAGGCCCTGTGATGCGGGGCGCCGCACGGTGCCGGTGCGCCGAGGTTTGGCGCTAACGCTCCGGGCAGCCCCTGCCCAAGAAATGCACTGCCGTGCGACGAGCAAAGACAAGTGTAGGTAAAAGCTGTCGGGGGTTTCGGTTGGTAGGCACTCTGGCGAGGCTGATGGCTTACCAGAGGAAGCTTGCATGCACATTGTGCCAGCTTTTTCACTTCGCGTAGCCGATTGTGTGTTCGTAGCAACTCCATGTCTCAAGACAGCGCGTGAAGTTGCATGGGCTGTACAGCTACGTTCAACACGAGTCAGACGCACTGCAAGGAAGGCCTTGCTGTAGGTATGGCATAGATACACCATGAATGTGAAGACACTATCTCTACATACCTACCGCAAACCATGCAGTGAAAAGATGAATAAGGTGCAAGTTGTAGACCGTGCCCTTGGGGTCGTGGTCGTCGTGGTCGTCGTGGTCGTATACCTGAAAAGCGAGAATGGGGAGAACGAGAAGAATGAGGAGCGAGAGTAAGGAGAGTGACGAGGGTAAGGAGTGAAGAAGGTGAGAAGGGCGAGACTGGTGAGTTTGAGGGATGAGGAAAATGAGGAGGGTGAGGAGAGTGAAGAGAATGAGGAGGGTGAGGAGAGTGAGGAGGAGTGAGGAGCGAGCGAGAGTGGCGAGTTTGAGGAGCAGCTCCGTCCGAATCCAAGTTTCAGACAGAAGGACCGTGCCCTTGTGAGGGTCGTGGTCAGAAGATACCTACAGGCAACTGCGAAAGTCATGCCTTGGTCGTGCCCGTGTGGCCTTTCCCCATGTAAGAGCATGATTCAAGAAGTCACGACAAGTCGCGCCCGGAACCCTTTCCCCCATCTAAGCGCATGCATCAAAGGGTTGTCGGGGTCATACATGGTCAACTTTAAACGTGCAGCGCTCACGTCATGAGTGCATTTTGCCTAGACAATACTGCATTACAGCTCCAGATTTCCATGATGCCCAGACCTGCAGTAGTATCAGCACGGAAAGCCATTCCCCATGTAAGCGCTTGATTCAAATGGTTTCAGGAGTGACGCAAAAAACAGTGGCCGAAAACCTTTTCCCAGATGTAAGCGCATGCATCTAAGGGTTGTTGGAGTCCTACATTGTCAACTTTCAACGTGCGGCGCTCACATCGGCATTGCATTCTGCCTAGACAATCTCGCATCACAGCTCCAGATTTCCATGATGCCCAGACCTGCAGTAGTATCAGCACGGAAAGCCATTCCCCATGTAAGCGATTGATTTAAAGTTGTTGCAGGAGTGACGCGAAAAACAATGGCCGAAAACCTTTTCCCCGATGTAAGTGCATGCATCTAAGGGTTGTTGGAGTCTTACATTCTCAATTCTAAACGTGCAGCGCTCAGATCGGCAGTGCCTTTTGCCTAGACAGTCCTGCAATACAGCTCCACACATCCATGACGCCCAGACCTGCAGTAATATCAGCACCGACGGCCTTTCCCCATGTAAGCGCTTGATTCAAATGGTTTCAGGAGTGACGCCAAAAACAGTGGCCGAAAGCCTCTTCCCCGATGTAAGCGCATGCATCTAAGGGTTGTCGGAGTCATGCATTGTATTACATTGTCAGTTTTAAGCGTGCAGTGCTCACATCGGCATCGGCAATGTCTTTTTCGTGGACTGTCCTGCATTACGGTTCCAGACTCCCATGATTTTCCATGACAGCCAGACCGGCGTTAATATCAGCGCGGAAGGCGATTCCCCATGTATGCGATGATTTAAATCGTTTTAGGAGTGACGTACAAAACAGCGGGCAAACACCGAAGTTTCCCCAATGTAAGCACATGCATCGAAGGGTTGTTGGAGTCTTACATTGTCAACTATCAACCTGCAGCGCTCACATCGGCAGTGCTTTTTCCCTGTGGCGACTGCCAAACCGTTATTTGGTGTTTACATGCTTCCAACGTGTTGAAAACATGGCTTGAAAACAATGCGCTTGCGACCCCTTAGTGGAAGCTCAAGCAAGCTTGTTCAACGCGCCACCGCAAAATGTTTTCCCGCATTGTCTTGTGGGTTTCAGTCGTCGACAGGCGCCACAACCAAAAAGCTTCCCCGCATAGTGCCGCATAGAAGGAGTTCTTACTCCTACGCGCCTTTGTCCTTGCATTTCGCATGTTGGATGCTTCCCGCATCTGCACACACGCCACGACTAGGGTCGCTGCAAAGTCCTTGCATTTGCCGTTTCCGCAAGGGCACACCTCCCGCACACCGTCCCCCAAGAGTGAAGAACTTATGTGAAAGCCCGCGTGTTGCTGTTCGTTTTTGCAGCCTTTTGCAAGTGCACACCGCCGGGGACAGGTGAAGAACGGACCCTGATATGCATGCAGTTATACCTGCGTGCTGCGGTTCGTGATTGCACCCTTCCGCAAGTGCACACTTCCGGGGACAAGTGGGGAACGGACCCCGAGATGCATGTACTTAGTCATGATGTTCTATAGGGGTCCCAAGGCCTCCCGTGCACTCCCAAACCCGCGTACCGAGCATAGATCTTCAAGCCGCTGTGTACTGTTGGAATCGCAAATAACAGCGGCACACTGGGTGGAGCATCTAGGAGAAAAAAGCATGTCCGAGGATCCCGATTGATGCGGTTTAACGGAATCCCCAACTGCACACAGGACCTGGGACGACAGGCCTGTGCCCTGCAGCAAACAAACACCGCAGATCATCATCTTGGAAACCGTGCCACGGCAAAATGTTTTCCCGCATTGTCTTGTGGGTTTCAGTCGTCGACAGGCGCCACCACCAAAAGACTTCCCCGCATAGAAGGAGCTCTTGGTTTGTTTTCATGGTGCCGCCGCAATATGCTTCCCCGCCTTATCCGGCCAATAGATTCGACAGCACCGGTAACTCACAAATGTGTTCCTTTCGCCGGTTGCCAAACCACTCCGAACAGCAATTCACCATGTAAGCGCAACAAACATGCACTTCGAACTATGTCCCGGTGGCGACTGCCGAACCTTGCACTTACTTGGTGTTTACATGCTTTCAACATGTTAAACAGTACTGAACCGGCTTGCTTGCAAAATCATGCACTTACTAGGCGTTTAGCATTGTGGGCACGACTTATCGGAAAGCTTCCCCGCATGCTCTGCTGTACATACACAAAAACGGGCACGACTTTCACAGGTCCGTGTAGGGCCTAGGGAGCAAGCGAATCGCGAGCAAGGTGTTATTCGTCCTTGCATGAGCACGCGGCCAAAAGTGGACTGTAGGACCGTGCCCAGTGAGCGGGTCGTGGTCACATGGCTGCAGCAGGCCGTCGCATTCTCTTCTGAGAGGGTCTGAGCGCAGCTGCCTGCGATTCGCAAGAAGCTGCGCCGAGACCCTCTCAGGGAAGAGAATGCGACGGCCTGCTGCAGCCATGTGACCCGAGGAGTCGCCTCGCCAGCTACCTCAGGAGTCATTTCATCGTCGACATTGACCTCTCCGCCTGCAGACTGTGACGTCACATGCTCCTCTACCTGCTGCGTAGTCAGGGCTTTTTCTGCTGTGTCTTCATCTTCTGACTCTCGGGATGCCGAGTCTCCAGGCTTCGAGAGCACTTGCAGGCCGCTCCGTAAGCCCAAGTCCACGAGCTGTCTCTGCTTCTCTTCCTGAGTGGCTTCCCCGGCATCTCTCACCATTTCACGGCCTTGGGCAGCAAGCCGCAGCTACCCCTCCATGAGGATGCTAAAGCTACAGTCCTGGCATCTGTCTAAGGCATCCAGCCAAGATCTCGCAGGTTGCTGAAGCTGACATCAACGAAAGAGCAGCAAAGACACTAAGCGATGACTAGCATGCAGCGCCAGGCTGATGATGGCGTGATGGCGCAGACTACCCTCCCCGGCCCGGCAGGCTCTGACAGTCCAATCGTTTGGAAGGTCAGTGCAGCAGCATGCACGGTGTTTGCTTGGCGGGCAGGCAAGCCGCAGCAAACGAAGGCCCTCGAAGTCTCGGTTTACCAGAACCATAGCCCCTAGAATCGCAGAGTTCAACACAGCATTCGGTTTCGCACGAATGATGCAGACGGCTGCAGAAGGGATCCTTCGCACCTAATGCACTTGACTCCCCTCCAGAAGTCACCCTATGCGACAGTCCGATCAAAGCAGATCTTTGGTAAAGAAGGCCATGTGCATGCGCGGAAGAGAGGATCAAGTCGCTTCTGACTTTACCCGCTAGGATCGGACGACGTAGCCCGACAAGGGTCAGTACGAACAGAAGATCCTACAGCAATGAGGCTTTGTTGTTTGGGATAGCAAGCTCGCCAGTTTGCCCAAGTTTCTCGCCGACCTGTGCTGAATTTGGGCCTCCTTCTGAATTCAGCTGTGGGTTTCCAAGATGACAAGTGCTTCTGTTGCACAGCATACAGCAAATCTTTGCTACTCCGTCCGCTTCATGAGCCCCAGCTTAGAGCTTATGCTCTCACTCCAATATTGGCGTGTCTTCGGCAATATCTTCTTGGACCCGGGCTGGAAACATTCCTCCCGGGCCGACCTGGAAGATGTACCAGTGCTGTCGGGCGAACTTTATCTCGGCGCTGGACCTGCGCTGCTTTGGCAGCAGCAGCAGCAGCTGATCAAGATCTGCATCACAATACCAAAGTACCACCGCAAGCGATGGGATGGGCAGCAGCGTGCAGAAGCTCCGGGCATACGGGGAGTTACGGCTACGCCCACAGTCCGTGCATCCGCGTGGCCAGTGGAGGAGGCTGCTGCTCGCTGCAGTCAGCCTCGCAAATCAAGTTTCCGCCGCACAAGTATGCTCCCGACTCTTGGGCACCTTAGGTGAGCTGGTCTCTTCCGCGAGCCCGACCGCAGGCTTCACCACAGGCCTTACCGAGGAATCGAGTGCTCGTCACGCTTTGCAAGCAAAGACATGGAACGCTTGAGGCATTTGCTGCGCCGGCGACAAGCTGCGGTCTGCCGACGGTTCCTCGGACAAGTTTGGGATCCAACTGACCGCTCGCCCCCTACAAGTAGTAATTGCCGGACACAAGTCCCAAAGCTAAGATCGCCCTTCTTCAAGCTACGTTGGAGCGCACAGACTCAACAGCAGCAGCCTGCAACTTCTTCTCCGACTTAGATAGCATGTACTTCTTTTGCACCAGTCTAGCGTTCTGTGTCTGTTTTTTTTGGTACCTCGGGCCTCTCTCTGTCTACCGCCCACCGTCGACACATCGCTGAGCTGTCCTTCGTCAGGCTGTTCCTCTGCCCGCTGGTGCCTGGCAGAGCGGAAGCACAGGAAGCACGGCAATTCCACAGTGCGGACATGTGCGGACATTTCGTTCCGCTCAGATTTGCAAACAGGGTGCCGTTCCGCCAGCTGACTCCACCGTTGCGCGCAGGCTGCTCAGGCGCTGCCATTGCTGCCTTCTCTGGCTCCTGGTTGGGGTTCGGCTGCAGGTGGCCCGGAGGGTGGCCCGGAGGGTGGCCGGGAGGCGCATGGAATGGGCCTAAGGATGGCGATGATGGCTGCTCGCCTGTGCCGGCTGAGGTCGGACTTGGACTTGGGACTGCCCTCGGCATGCGAAGCGGAGGGGGGCTTAGGGACTGGCGCTCCCTCTCGGGAGCCACCTTGGGACTGGGGCTGATCTTGGACGGGAGGTCCGTTCCACGTCTTCCCGTGCCTCTCTGCAGCTCTGCCTGTGAGTGCACGCGACGTGGTTGCAAGTTGGGAACGCTCTGCCGCACGCGCACGGCACGCTCTGCGTCTCTCAGAAGAGGTCCTTGTGGACTGGATTGTGGATGTGGAATTGGCTGGAACTTTGGGCTCGGCACCTTTGGCTGAGCTCCTTCAGGCCGCATTTGGGGAGGGCTTGGGCTTGGGCTGTGTGTGCGTGTGGGCGATGTGGAAGGTGCTTTGGGTACCAGAGCTGGTGGAGATGAAGGTGGGGGCTGCTGTGCAGCCTTCCAAACGGGTGAGCCCATGGAAGCAGGAAGCCAGTCTGCCACTTCCACCTGGCTCAGTGCCTGCATGATACGAAGTGAAAGCGCCAAGCACACAAGTATGTGCAAGTGAGACCGGTATTGTGTAACGAATTAGGCAACTGTAGCGGACCGCCCGGGAATTCCCTCAGATTCGGCACTAGTCGAGCTGCGCACAACCACAGCGACAAAGACCGAGCCCAACGTCCAACCCGCCTCCTTGCACGCTTCGGTTCCAGGTCTTCGACCTGCGAGTGCAGGAAGCTCTCTGGCGAGATCGCCCGTGTCTGTCCACTCTCCGTGACTCTTGTTGTTTTGAGCTCCTCCCGCATGCGCCGTGCGCCCACCTAACATTCTCGCACGAACGCATGGATTTCTGGCACGGCACAGAGCGCTGTGAGCCCCGTGGCAGAGCTTCAAGGTAGTTTCCTTGAGTCCAGAGGCTCTTCGTTGGTGCTGCGAAGTTCTGGGTTCCTCCTTCTGGTGTCGTCTTGGTCCAGACCTCACTCTCCTTTTCCGGTGGCCTGATGACGATGTGCGGCATATGCGCAAGACATCACGCAGACATCACCCATGCACACACACACACACAACCTCACTGTAGTTCATTTTCTTTCATTGGCCAGAGTCGCACGAAACCACTTACCTCTGCTACACTTGGCTACAAGACGACCAAATTTTGGACATGAGTGCGGCGGTGTACCGGACCCTCTCTGAACAGCAGCGTAACGACATGCTTCATGTGCTGACGGCTTCGCTGACAGTTATGCAAAAGACAACCTGGACAGGTGGAACTATACTCACATGGAGACCCGATGCCACTACACAACCAACGCCAACTCTCATCTGTGGCCAACAGACTAGCTGACCGCGAATACGTCCATGTCAGCCTGGTGCTGGAGCAGTGCTGGCCATGGGCCTGGCTCGGCGAAGGATCGGCCGCTTGTTCCAAAAAATTGAGCTGCGCTAGCTGAAGCTCTGTGTTCCCTCTCATGCCTGGAGAAACCAACCGAGGCAGGATTGGCTGCGTTGAGAGTCCTGTCAATCAATGCGCTGCTGTCGAAGCCTCTCTGGATTGAGACAGACTCACGGTCCTGCTTGCACTCCCTGGGGACCCAGGTTGTACGAAGTTTGCAGGTGCTTTGTACACCTCAGCCGGGCTCCACAAGTCAGTGCACCGCACCACCCAGACCAGGTAATCACTGGAGAACTCAGCTCAGTGTTCTGGTCCCGTGCTACGGTCTCAGGAGCGGGGAAAGTGCTGACTTCGTGTCCCTCGGCAGGCTCTGACGATGAGCACGACATGACCCCAGACAAGGAGAGAGCTCCATAATAATCGGTAACTTCCCTCCCCATTGCTCTCGAGACTCCAGAGTTGAGTCCAGATGCTGCGCGGGTGGCCGGATTGAAGGGCTGCTGCTGTGACATGGGTGGATGGACCACCTGCGGCTGGGCAACCGGCGCATAGCCTCGGCGCGCTCCACCGGAAAGGTGCTTTGATTTCTGGAGCTGCTTGCGAGAGGCCTGGCTTGGGTGCCTCGCCCCTCTGGCTATGAGCGGCCTGACAAGGCATCACTGAAGAAGTGAAGACTGAATCTCTGCCACATGCCCCGGCAAGTTGGCAAGAGCCTGGGCAAAGGCCGGCATCAAACACCGCTGCGGCGTGCATGGGGCAGAGGCAGAGGGGACCTTGAAACGCTGGAACGCGAAGTTTGAACCCTGCTTGTATGCTCGTGGACTGCTGCGGCATGTCGGTGCGGCTCAGGTGCACTCGCAGTCCCAGCTCCAGGCGAAGCGTAGCTCTCCCTCGGCTCTCAGATCACTCAGAGCAACGTCTCAGGCCTCGGGCCTCTCTGGGAATCTTCGCACTCTCGCTCTCCAAAAGGGCAAGGCACGTCACGGGCAGAGACGGATTGGCGAAACCAAGGTTGGACGCTTTCAGGCTCAGCTTCTGCTGGTTCGGTGACTGAATGCTCGTCCTTGAAGCCAGTCTCCAAACCCGACGCACAAAATAGCCACGAACATGGTTCAATCGGCATGCCAAGTCTTCCGTGCACATCGACCTGCACAGCTCCAGACTCGAGTCCTCGGAATCGCTTTGGGAAGCGGCGAGAACCTCGCAGCAAAACTGTCTCAAGTCAACACGGCTCGAAGTGCCGTGGAGAAGTCTACAATCCCCCAGCAGCGCAAGGTCGGCTTGTCGGCAAAGGCAAGACCGTAAGCCGGCGCTTACAACACCATGCCATGACTGCCGCATGCCGGCATAGGCTCCCAGCTCAATTTGGCCAGGCGTCTCTGCGCCGAGTTCGTCTGCTGCTTGTGGGACCGACTCCTGCTTGCACATACAAGCAGGACGAGAGAGGACAAGCGACCACAACTCCTCCAGGCATCTCTGTCAACTCTAGATGGTGTCTCTCGGAAGGCACACTTCCACAAGTCTAGAAAGGATGCAAGATCGCCGGAATGAAGAGAGGAGCTCTGCTGCTGTGCTTTGCAATGTTCCACCCATTCCTGCCCGGGCGCTGCCTTGGGCCGCCCTGGCCGGGCGTGAAGTGATTGTGTCGAATCCTGCTTCACTGCTGCAACTGCATTCAAGCTGGGAGATCGCCGTGGGCTTTTCTCACACAATTCGAAGCTCTGCATCCAGAAATCTGAAGGCTGACTCCTGCAAAGGCCGCCCGAAGGACCTGCAAGACGTCTGGGTCTGTGAGAAAAGATGGGGATCAGCTTTGCAACCCAACTGCATTCGTGCTCGGTCGGCAGGTGCCGGGTGGTTTAATGTCAGAACACCGAAACTCCCACGTTGCACATGTCGACTTCGGTGCCACCCTGGAGTTCCCGCCGAGCGGCTCGCGCCAGTTCTGCCTTGCGGAAGTAGGCACCCTGATGGCAAGACGGTAAGCTGCACCGATAACCTACACGCTGTAATGCAAGCGGTTGTGAGGCGAAAAGAAACGGCAAAGGAAACGTGAGTCAATGTGCCGGCTTCACAGAGCAACGAGCGACATGCATGCACGCTACGCATACCCGATGGAGCTGGGGAAACACGATAGTCTCGGTGAGGTTATTGTGCTCTCATGTAACAACTCCATCCGCGGAAGCCTGAGACAAATGGTCGCCGTTTCTGCTATTGAGCGCAACTTCTACCCCCCAAATATGTGGGGGCTGCGATGCCCCAACACGGCCTGTCCGAATATCCTTGACGTCCAAGACGCTGAACTGCTTGCACCCGCTGCCCTGGCACCGGAAGATCGCTCCAAGAGCCGCGTCTCATGACCACGGGATCCTCGCGACGACACCCAAAAAAAACGCGAAACCGACAGTCGGCCACCGGCCACCTCTTTCGCATCCACCGCTCGGGCAGGAAAATGGGGAGTTGCTTTCGAGGATGGCTGCGCTCCGAATGCGGTCTCAAGCAAATTGACCCAGTGAAGGACACAGCAGGAAATGAGGAGCACGTTGAGAGGCGGTATGGAAAGCAAGAGCGTGCAGGCGGGATGAAGCGCAAACCGCCAGTCCTGGGGCGGCTCCCGTCGAGTTGCCCGCCTCACTCGGTCAGAATGAACGATCTGGACCTGCGAGCAGAGATGCCAGTTGCAAGCGCTCCACATAGCCGACTATGTAGCCCCATGCTCGAACCATAGGTCCGCACTCTTGCGTTTCGTTTACCACGACATGCACCCCTCGCATTTAGCGCAAAAGCCATGGTTGACGAGCTTGTTCTGGTCGCTCAGAAGTACGATTGAAGCAAGGAGCGGATGAGTCAAGTTGGGCTGATGTGATCTTGCACCGAGAACCCTACATACGGCGTGATGCTAACGGCATCCAGCTCCACCAGGACACCAATTCCATAGTTCTGCTGGTTCCGAGGTCCAGAACATGTTCCCTCTCGTTCTCCGTGTGGGTTTGAGGAGGGACTTTCTCTCTCGTTTGCTCTCGCACACGACGAGTGAGAGTGAGAGATGGAGCCTGATCTCCCGAGGTCACTTCCAGGAGCTCCGACAGCTTCAGGGAAATCAGGACAGAGCCCGCGGGCACCGCGGAGCCTCCGGGCGAAACTCCAAACTGTCGCTTTGCCTGCAAAGCTGCAAGCACAAGCTCTGTGGCCCCGGCTGAGGTGAAGGACTGCCACGTGTCCTCGCTGTGCTCCAGGTCTCTTCACTGTCACCTTCCGTTATGCCCATGGCTGTCCCTGGCTTCATAAACACTTCTGCATCCGAATCTGCTCTGCGATCATTTTCCAGCAAACATACCTAAAACAGTTGAAAGCGCCTCGCCCAAGTTCTTGGCGGCAAAACCGGCGCATGTGCTTGGGCTGATTTTCACCAGCCTGGGCTTGGATTCGAAGGTTGACCCGGCTCGACCTTGTGCTGAACCAAAGCCGGGCAGCAGCTTCGGGATGCCATCCTCTACTCTGACGGCCACCTCCAGGGTCGCACTTCGCTTCTCGACCAAACTTCCTGGTTATCCCCCTCCACTTCTGCATGCTGGTGCAAATACGCCTGCAAGCGGCCGCAACGTCACAGGATCTCAACATCGACTCCGCCCATAGCCAACCCTTTGCAATGTTGGCTGGCAGCACACGATGCTCCAGAAAACTGTAGCAACACGAGTAGCAACACGTATGTCAACAAAACATTTTGCTGTATCCAAATATGCCTGTTGCACTCCAAGCCTGGGGTGTCAAGCTCATCTCCCTTTCAATCCCTTTAAGCCTTGGAGAATAATTCGTCTAACGCGGCATGCCCTGCCTGGATGGCCTCAGCAGCCATCGCAGTTCGGGGGTTGAAACCTGAGAAGAAAGAACGATGATGTTGATATGTTCTTAACTAAGGGGGGAGTTGAGCCCCCCGGGCACGAAGGCCCGCCCGCCTTTTACGGGCTGCTAGAGGGGAGTCAAAGTATGATGATTGTGTAGGCAGGAAGCTAGGTATTAGAACTATGTGGTTTCGGCCATCAATGCATAGCTTGTTTGGTGCTCCCCCGGACTGCGCAGACAGCTTGTTCATCTAACTACGACTGAAGGCCCAAAAGTAGAGGATGGTAAGTTCGTGTCAGGGGCACCTGTTATGCATGTTGGTTGTTATTGGGTTGCGATTTCTGTCATTCGGCCATTTGATATGTTCTATCTCTCTTTCCCTCTCGCTCTGAGTCGCTCTGTTGATTGGGTTCAACACTTCTCTCTCCCTGGTTGAAACTTTTTGCCTCCGTATGTACTATCATTTCCATCGTTCCTATCAGTTGATTGATCAGCGCTTTTCATCGCTGCAGCACCGCGTGCTCAAAAGTCTCACGACCTAGCTGCTAGCAACAGTCTGTGCTTGGTCCAAGAACTCCATCTACGACGTCTGTGTTCAAACAGGCAAGCGCTGGCAATCTGAACGCAAACACGGCACCTCAATCCACATTGTAGCTCAAGCTGTGCAGTATGTGCATGTTCAACCGGAGAATTTCTCGGATATTAGCATGAAGCCAAAGTGAATCTGCAGCTGCCCAGGCTTGTCACTTCAGCCACCGGCATCACGGGCTTCTGATCATCCTAACTTCCATCATGAACTCGTCCTCACAAGCCTTGGCCTATTCAGGCACGTTGGGAGCCCGAGACTGCCGGGATCACGGCTCTCAAGTCTCGTGGGCCACGAGCCAGGACTCATGGACACCATGAACCCCGCATCAACATGCCACCTCATGATAAATGCCGGTAGCATTACGGTTCGAAGCCACACCTTCCAAGGAACAACCGACAACAACCTGCCTTCTGCCAAGTTGCGCCGATGTCCTGAGCCGGGAAGGCCACACGCCAGAGGTGCCGAAGGCTGGCAAGCAGGTTTGCGGCGCCATCTCGCAGCTCGAGGGAGCTACAAAGTTAATGTTGTCGGCTCCTTCGCGCACTGATGAGGCGTGCTTGGGGTGCGGGGCTGCCACTTAACAACGCATCGAGGTGCCATCATGTTTTGGAACCATCCGGATGTTTGGCACAGTGGGTCATTCGAGCGACTGGGTGACCGAGCTTGCAAGGACTCGCTGGGCTTGGTTGCAGTTGGACAGGCGCTATATATATATATATATGCCATGGAACCATGGAATCGATCCTAGATGCAGGCATAAGCCTTGAGCCATCGGCTGGAGAGCCTCTGCCGTCTAGCCTTGTAGTCCCAAATCTTGGGCCTTCGCTGATCACTGATAGCCCTGTGCAAGCTGAAACTAACCGCCCTGCTCCCTGCTTCTTCCCACAGCACGTAGCTATGGTGCTTGAGGCATAGCTCAGTGAAACAACTGCACGGGCACAAGACCAGCATCGCCTCTCAATGCGCTTCGCTTGGAATTCTACTCAACTGTTGCCACAAGTACTGCTCACGCAGTGACAGTTGAAGTCTGCTTGTCGTCTTCGTCACACACTTCCTTGCCATGTCTACTTCTGCCGACTGCTGCATTCCGGCCAATTGCTCTTGAGGGTCGCATCCGTGGTGTAAGTCGCAACGGCCAGTTCTACTTGGTCACCGCTTCCTTACATCCAAGCATGTGTGTGGAGGTCAGTGTGCCCTCGCAGCGTTCGCCAGGCATTTGGTGCTGTTCACAGCTGTCCAGCCTGCAAACGTCGAATTTCGTGCATGTGGGATGTCTGATGCAAAAGCCTCGTTGCCCTAGTTCAAGTTCAGGCTGTTTCTCGCCATGCAAGGCTGCTCCCTGCTTCGGTGTTTGTTGCTCTTGGAAGCCAGTCCCACAAACTGTAAGCTTACAGGGTGCTCGAGCCCCGTTCGAACTACTGTGGCACTGCGCTGACCATTTCTGGTTCCTATCGCCTCGTGCTCTGAGTAAAGGGACCTGCCCAACGGCTGCATGAGCCCGGCTTTGTCAGGCCCACGCGCTGCTCAACAGGGCAGCAACGAATCCTCTTGCAGCAAAAGTGATCGTTCCTCCTCCGCTGCCTCGTCAACCGGAGCGACTGCAATCCTCAGGAGGAAAATACCGGGCTTTGAAGGCGAACGGGGCATGCACGGGTGACTGCTCCCCAAGGCTCCAAATCTTCCCGGATGGATTCAGACTGAGCTCCAGGAAGGAATCCTCCCAAATCAAGAGCACTTTGTCCATAAATACTCGACAAATGCTGGCTTTTCTACCCAAACTCTGTTTCACAGCCGTGTCTCGACGAGCCGTTTAGGTTGACAGGCTGTCCACCCGCCCTGCCTCGTCGTAGGAAAACGTGCTTCGACGTTTGCCGGTCTGATCCTAGCCGGGATGGCAGACATTCTGAACATCGGTCGGGGCGGGGCATCTGCATGTCAAGGCGGGCCCCGCCTCAATGCCACACAACTCTCTGGTGGAGAGCGTCAACCGCGCCTTGGTTTTGGACTTCATATAAACTGCGAAAGGGAATTGGGCTCGGACACAAGATCCCAAGAAGACCCCCACTGCAGCTGCACTGGTGCAATGCACACGAACAGGGAAGGAGAGATACTTGACACGGTGGCACCAGGCTCAGGATTGGCTGTTGGATCAACTGGGACTCACTGCGGCAACGATACAATCTCGGAGTTGGTGAGCAACGACTGGTCCTTTGCCAGAAGCGTCATCAACGTGTCCGGCGAGTTTTCCTTACACGTTCATGTGCGAACAACACGGAAGTCAAGCAGACATTCTCGTGCTCGGCCACCACACCAAAACTGTTCCGAGCAGCATCTATGTTCAGCTGGAAGGACTCCCTTATCACAGCTTCACTGCCGGCGTTGTTGTGAACGCGGGTCCGCATGGGCTCGTTGTATCCTTGCAGACCATGGCCAAACAGAAAATGCACGCGTTGGCCCCAGGTCGATTGATCCAATTCGGCGGTAGTCAACAGAAACCTGGGAATTGCTTCGCCTGGGCTAAGGAAGCAGGCCAATACACTCATTCCCGCCATTGCATCGGGGAGCCCATATGACACTCGACGAAGAGATCGTTAGGCTTCGTGAACTTGGAGGATGCACTCTGCAGCCCCTCGACCTGCTGAGATCGCGAAGTGCAAGGAAGCAGTGACGAAAACCTCTAGGCTGTGTCTTCACAAAGCTTCTGGACACAGAAGTTGCCGCGCAAGAAGGCATAAACTCCAGGGAACTGCTACGCGAGCTCCCTGTCCCACCAATGACTACTGTAAGGATGTCAGCTATCGGCCCGGAAACAATCGAGGCAGCCACTGAAATCTCAGTTCAGCTCCAAGGTTTGCTCTGTTCCGATTCTGCGGGTGCGCCGTAAGCTCGGCAAATCTTCCCTTGCACTGGCCTTCCAAATGAAAACCTCGATGGGCCTCTGACGAGAGCGGAGGCCGAACAGATCCTGCACAACTAGACGCTGGCTCATGTGCCCCTGTCTTGCGATGTGTTCTTAGTCTACTTAGCACTGCCCCTGGCAAGTCTAGAGACGATTCCATCAACAGGATTCTCTCGTAACATATCACCGAGCACGCGCAAGGCTCACACCCTTCTGGAGCGGGGCACCCTCCACGGAGGGGCCCCAGTATATGACCGGAACAATCTGTGCAAGGCAGAACTTCAGATTGTAACATCACAACGAGACTCTCATCGCAAGGACAGTGATGAGTAGGGTCTGATTGGAATGCAAGGAACTAAAAGCAGCAAGCAGAATGCCACAACATAAGCCCCGTCTTTGAACTTGCACATCGCGCGGCAGGAAGCACTTCGCAAACAGATGCTTGTCATCATGCGCTGCAATGTACCACTGCCAATTCAACCTCGATAAAGGGTACTGAATCCATAGCCAAGTTTCCCTCCAATTGAAGCGAATAAGCGTGATGTGCTCTAAGCCAGTAGCTATAGCTATCTTGTTCCGGAATCGGAACACCACATAGAATGCGAACCTCAGGACGCACACTCCAGCTGATGTTAGCAAACCACGTGAAGAAAGATAAGCACGATTTGGCAGCCACAGGCTCGCCAGCTGCTGAATCAAAAGTGCCCTTTGTGGTAAACTCACTCGTTCTCTAACTAAAGCTGCAGCTACAGAGAGCGTTGTAAGGGTACTAGCTGTTGCGACAGACTACGGCCTCCCCGGTCACGCAGCATCCGCAGCACTACAGTAGTGATAGCTTCATTTGTGGACTCACCAATGCCGGAAACTCTTTTTCGCTGCCTGCGGCGCCGCGCCATCGGGATCATTGACTCTCTTCCTCTCTCTCGCCTACTGCTTAGCATGCCTTGCCTTGCCAAGAAAAAAGCCGATCTGCACTTGCAGGCTAGGCGCAGGATGGATAACGAGGTAATCAGCTTCGCCGTATGGATCAAGACCCAATCAACGAAGCCCACGAAGTACACGCAAAACTGATTCACCTCGTCTCCGAGCACTCTTGCTGGACTGGTAGACCGTCTTCTAATTTCAAATCCATGCGACTCTGTCCCTTTAGTATGAAACTACGACGTCATTCAATAGTCTGCTAATGTCTGCTACCCAGCGAGGCCATAAACATGCTTGTGTCTTGCAGCATGCTTTGAGGCATTTCATATGTCTGGGCGGGAAACCCAGGCAAAGGATGTCAAACATTTTTCAGGGGCGAGCTGCCATGTTCACTGCCCACGGCTCTCGCTGCAACACGCATGCCGCATGATCAGTCCGACAGTTACCGGACGAAGAAGTGACGGGGCGGCCACTCCCAAGTAAAGGCCGCTTCGTGCCAGTCTCTGTCTGGCCAAGCTGCTGTCCAATCTGGCAACACACCTATGGTGAAAACCAGGATAAACACGTTCAAGTAGGTCGCCTTAGCTAAACACTTTCGGATGTAGTGGCTCCCCATGCAATGCTGATGAACGAGCTCCGGTTTCAACATAGCGAAACGGTGTGAAGTATCGCTTCTATGCTATGTCATTCGGTCCTGTAGCGACCCCCTGCGCGACTGAAGCTCACGACCGCTGGGAGATTTCGTCGGCTCTAGACATCGAGGTGCCACGCAGAAGTAGACGTGGAGGCGAGTGTAGACGAAGCTGGAGAAGCTCCGGCTGGCTCGATAGTTCAGGCGTCCGCAGATGCAGGGTAAGCACCATATGCCTCGGTTCCGACATGACCCATGGGAACGGTCAGGCCTTCCCCTAGCAAGGCAGATAGACACGAGCATCTCCGAACGCCCCTTATCGCCCATTAAGGCTGCTGTAAAAAAATGCCCGCCTCCAGGCTTTTCTGCGTGAACTGGCGTAAACGAACAGCTGCTACGGTGCTGTGGGCGTGTGGGGGCCTCGTGTCAATGTACCGAAGCTCAGCCAAGTCGCAGGATACCAGCGTGCAAACCTGCGGCTTACCACGGTTTCTAATCCCTTCCCCCAATCAGTTAAACATCCGTCTCACAATACAAACACTTTGGGGCCAACCCTCCCGAATTCATCCCTGCCCTTTAAAAAAGCTAATTTACATTTTGCGTTTGGGGGTCCGGAGCAAGAGAAGGAGCAAGAGCAAACATATAACAGGAGCAAGAGCAAGAACAAAAGCAAGAGCAAGAGCAGGCACAGGAGCGAGAGCAACAGATGTAGCAAGAGCGGGGGCAAGAGCCCGCGCAGGAGCAAGAGCAAGAGCCCTTAAAAGTGGCAATAGAAATAAAAGTAACACCCGAAGAATAGAAACACTTTCCCAGCTTCTATCGTAGGGGGAAGGGATTAATCTTGTCATAATCTGCCCAGAACCCGCGATCGTTGTAGACAGACTGAATAAGATTTTCTACATCAATTTGCATCTAAGGCGACAATGACAACTAGAGCCGTCAACGCTAGCTCATGAACACCTGATGTTGCGCTCAGTTCCGTCAAGAAGCCGCCACGAGGATCCAGTCCTTCGGTTGCAAACTGATGCAAAGTATAAACAGCGTGGCATCGATGTGCCGGGTACTACGCGTGGGCTCTCGATTCTCCCTCCCTGGTCACCAACTCAATCGTCCTGATATTCCGTGTCAATGTCAAGACGGAAAGGCCACTTGTCGTGAACGATGCCATGCCTCGCACCAACACCCACGAGAGCAGGGGACGTCCAGCAGATACTTTCTACGGCCTACGGCCCAACCCGGATCTCGACCTTTTTCTTCCGCAGTCGCAGCCAATCTCAATGAAACTGCGAAGTGCGATTTAATGCTAGACTCCGGGAAAAACTGCTACGCAGAAGTTGACCACGTTCGCGGGCTACAGGTTGCAGCAGCAGCAAGCTTTTGTTCGAAGTTCTGTGCGCAAGCGGTCACGCCGCTTGTATCCGCCCATCCGTTTTGGGGTTGATACACGAAGTACCCGCATCAGCAACTGCCGCGAACAGTGCCTGCACGAGGGGAACTGCATCGTTCACTGTGACCATATTGTAGAGACGATTCGACGACAGCGCAGACGTCGAAAGCATAAAGTCGGTGAGCGCCACCGTGAGACTCGCATCATCCGGGATTGGACGGCCATCATCGAAAGTCAGGCTTTTGACCCTCTGTCCGTCTTGCGCTGCCGGATCAAACGTGTAACGCAACCCCGCGGGGTTCACGAAGTTGCCGCAAAAGGTGTCGTAGCATTTCAACGAATCATCGATGTAGTTCTTGATCTGTGCCCCGGTCGCATAGATCTTGACAATACCGTTCCTTTGAGGGTGCACCATGAGCACAAGCTATAGGAAGTTCGGAGAACTTGCTTCAAAACCTTGCCGAGGCTCCCAAACGGATGCAACTCTGTGATGATCTCTTTCGAAAGATCACCAGCTGCGAAGACCTTGTCGGGGCTGCGGGCTGACAGGAGCTGAAACACCACGCACTACATTGCTCCGAAAAAACTCGCTGGACCCTGCAACCTTGTCTCCTCGGATGGTGCCTCCGTTGATGAGGGCCACCTGCGTCCTTTAAGCCACGCCAGCTTTCGGCCACGTCTAAGACGTCTACATGCGGGACACGTCATGTCAGAAGCACACGGTGCGAAGTCCTGTGCATGTTCTTGACGGCATCAGCCACAAAGTTTGCGGCATTCGTCTCTCTCTGACGCACATGTCGAGTAACTGCATCGAGTGGGGCAGATGAACAGCCGATTTTCTTGGCCAGCTCGGCACTGCCTCTCTCCTCCCACTGAACCACCTTGTTGTGCCTCTGCATGGCGGGTTGGCCGAGGACGCTAGCCGAGCGATTGCCAAATGTTCGTCTCGGTTTTACGTTCAAAAAGTGCCAATTTAAGGTCGGGGACACACCAACCGAGAACGGGTCGAAATCTGTAAGCGTTATCAGCTCACCTTCAACGGAGTCCACCGTACCTTCGTCAGTTAGCAGCAGCTTCATCTTCCACTGCGTCTTCAGGTCCGAATCTGCCTGCATGGCAAAGCTGTGCTTGGCAGAGCAGCGGCTACAAAAAAGACTTTCACTGCAGATCAGTCCTTCACGTAAGGCGCATGCCCACACACTGTCTTGAGTTCTGTGCTATGGTCGTGGCCACCCAAGATCCTGGGTTGCAGGATTTGTTGTACTTCCTGGAAATCAACTGCATTTGCATTTGTCAGGCTTCAACTCGAGGCTACCAGTCAGTCTATGAAGATGCTGCTGCCCAGTATCAAATCAACGCTTTTCCCCAGCGCCTGGCTAGTTTTGCAAAACAGACTCAAGGCACTCTGTGCGTGTTTCACGGGACGGGACATTGTGAGCAGCAGGTAAACCTGGAAGTCACCCGCTACGTTCCTGCACTTGAATTTCGATCGCGCAGCCTTGGACAGCTTGCAATCCTCGGAGGCGAACTGGTGAGTCAAAGCAAGGACGACTTTGCCTTGGAGATGCCAAGCAGTTTGATTCAAGTTATCGGGGCGTTTCAATTACAAAGGCATGTTGCACTTGTGCTCATCTCGAAGAATCTTGGCCTCCTTCTGAGCTGCGGCCAGGGAATCTACCTGCACGATCCACTCCACTGCTTTTACATCTCTGCGTGCTACGAGCGTCTGGTCAAGTTGCAGCCGGAACACATAATTCACCCTGTGCCTGTCCTTGAACATTGTCTCTCGCACATCGTAAGCCACACCAAACAGGCAAACGCGGGTGGTCTTCACGTCACCACCCTCCGACCAGCGTGGCGAGAAAGGGATGTCCATGATCTTGTGGTGCTGGGTTCCTGAAGGCGACAGGGCCCCAAGCGGTCTGAGGTTGCAGAGATCGGATTTCTTTAAGTAACATGTTCAGGTCTAGGGAGTCTTGGGAGTGACGGCATGCGAGGATGACAGCCCCCAAAAACATGAATGTTGATGAAGCAACACTTTCCAGGCCCCCCAGCCTGCCCCCTGCCCCCCTACCCCACAGCCTGGAAGCAAAGCGCCGGCTTCATCCAGCAGGTTTGTATTCAACCACACGAACCTGGACTCCTGAATCCTTTTCCTGAGAGTTTCGACGCCAAAATCGAACTCGTGATTGCCCAAGGAGGCAGCAGTAAGATTGAGGAAGTTCAGGATGTCGACCATTTGCTCCCCTTCGAAAAGGTCGCTCAGGACCGAAGGGGAAAGCAGGTCGCCCGCGAAGACCACGAATGTCCGATCAGGATTCCGTTTCCGCGCCTGTTCGATGACGTAGGCAGCTCGAGACATGCCCCCCTTGCGCATGCCATGTTCAAACACACCGGCTAGTTGGTACACATCATTGAAATGAATGATGGTGATCTCGTTTGATGGGCTAGGGACTACATGTAAGCTGGCGATGTAACTCGGCTCATCCTGATTCTGGCACAAGCCGTTTGGCCAATTGTTTCGACAACCATTGGCAGAGCTCAGGAAGCCAAATTTCAGTTTCTCGGCGCTATTGCAGAATGGGTCTAGGATCTCATCGCCGTCACAATCATGATACTCGATGTGATCATCATCTCTGCTGCAGAAAGTGGAAGGTCTAGAGCAGGACCCTTCTGGGATGTCCGACTCCGACAGCTGTGGGAAGGCTAAGCGTCCTTCCGAGGCCGAATAACAGTTCCGTGCCGTACAGAGCATGTCTGGCTTACCTTTACCGGTCGTGCCGCGTACCGTTGCCACTACCACGAATACCGCCACCACTGCGGTTGACATCAGGGTGACAAGCCATCGCGGCATCCAACCAGCTCTCTGATCATCTAGCTTGGACAGCGACTCCTCGTCTTCAAGGAGCAGGTCTGCTTCTCTTATGTCTCCCATGGCAGGTGGCTTGGAAAATCCTGTCCTGTTCGGTGCAAAATGTCGAGCTGCGATTGGGAACCGGAAATAGCAGACGAGTCTATGCAGGACCGTTGAGCCGGTGGCATAAAGGCATGAACCCCTCTTTGAGCCACAGAGTCCAAGCAAACCGGTCGGTGCCTCTCTTTGTCGCCACCTATGAGCGGCCCCAGCTCGAAAGGGGGCCTCAGCTAAGAGAACACATGGCGCCGTCCGTGACTACTGAGGGCTCGCTGCTGTCCAGGTGCATGAAGCCTCCAGGTGCATGTATCGGGTGTTGGGACAGCCGACACCTTCGACCCTGGCGTCTTTTGGGCCAAATGGTCTGAAGCACTTGGGTCAGCACGTGCTGGCATGTAAACGCCAACCTTGGGCACTGCTCATGATACAGTCATGATCACGCTTGCTGTTGATGCTGTTGGTGCTATTGCTGCTGTTGTTGCTGCTGCTGTTGCTGCTGTTGCTGGTGTTGCCGTCGTTTTCGCCGTTGCTAAATCTGTTGCTACTGCTGTCGACGAGTTGCCGTTGCTGTTGCCTTCGCTGCTGGTGCTGATGGTGCTGATGGCACAGTGTACTCTCTAGGCCACGCCACACAACAGATTTCCTGTGGACGGACGTCTGCTTGGAAGGCTGGTAAGCGCTTCATCCTCTGACGGCAGCTCGCCTGTGGCATTTTGATCTGCACAGCACCTGCTCTATGTACATGTCATCCTTGATTCACCTTGCTATGGGAGTGCTGCTATGACAGGAAATCCGAAGCCAGGTATCTTATAGAGACTTACTGATAAGCACAGCTCCAGATAGCGCCTCTCCCTTGGGATTTTCTGCAGCACGCTGCATGGCATGGCTAGGTCCGCGGTAGGCGGTGGCGGCGCAAGCAAAAGGCACCATGTGTGAGACTCAGGCCAAGCAGCGACGACTGGTACGAAAGCAGTGCAACACCGTAAAGCCACGTAGGTAGGTCTTCAGGCTTCCGGCAAGGTTTCCGGGGATTTCCGTGGCAGGGTCGCCAGCCCAACATGACTTGCTGCAGCAGATATTCCATCAAGGCCTCTGCTTGTGCTTGCGATTGCTACGGTGATGCTTCGTCATCCGACCGCTCACCAGACAGGGCAGGGACCGGAATCTTCTCGTCACACAGCTTCCTGCCGACTCTGGCCGACTGAATTGGCAGGTTCACGCAGAAGATCGTCGACTAGACGCACGACAGCGTGTATATGCATCTTAGCCTTCCGGCCGCGTGCACAATGGGCCAACACAAACTAAACCGTCAGCTGTCGTGACGGTCGTGTCCCAATGACAGATTCCGAAGCCTCGCTGCCACGAGCCAGGCTTTGCAGCTCGCGGTAGCGCGGCTGAGGGCGCCAACCTCTGTGCCTGGTCAGTTCGCTTTACGGAAGCTTCAGTTAGCATCTCCTGAGGCATTCCATTTCGCTTAGCCGTCCGCGGAGCTCAGAGGCAACTTTGACACAATCCACACGAAGTGCCTGAAACCAGAGGAAGAGCTGCAAACACAACGATGCAAGCAACAGGATTACTAGGAATCTCACAGCTTGACGTGCCTCTTCCAAGCTCTCCTGCCCATCCTGACAACATTTCTGCAGCTGATGGAAAGTGGCCCAACATGGCCTCATTAGTTGGATTATCGCTTCATTACCTAGCTCTGGTCCGTTGCGGGACCGCGTTCGGCGAACATGAAGAGAAGACGAACTGTAGACAATGCGCCCAGAATCTACAGAACCTACCTGCGCCAGTTCAACGGCGAGGGAAGCGCCGCCCGCCGCTCCACCAACAACCTGACCACGACGTGCTCATGAGAACGAGATCCGTTCGGCAAGTTCAGGACATGTGTGGTGAACCAGGAGCTCCCCCTCTCGTCTGGCAGACACCTATGCCCTTTGGCATGCTTCAGGTTCAGCTGGAGGAGTGCTGGAGGAGTGCTGGAGGCTTTCGAAAATCCGCCTCGTCATCCATCGGCAAGATCCTTGGGCTGCATGGCATCAGATTCACAACTTCGGCCTTCACCCTCGTCTGAAGCTCAGAGAAGGCTTCCGAGAATTCAATCCAAGACAAATTTCAAGTCTACTTGCCTCTGCGACCCTGCCTCTACACACGCATCGAAGCCCAGAACCCCCAGCCACCGCCTTACTTGGCAGGAATCGAGCCAGTGGATTTTCTGCTGGCCCGTGCCCTCGCCAGCGTTGTCTGTTCCAACTCCTACAGAGAAACATGCCTGCATGCGCTTGTTGGGCTTGTCTTGGCTGCATGTACACATACTTTCTTGTCGGCCTGCTCCAGGTGGACACAGCGGGCATCGGCTGCCTGCCAAAGCAACGACTCCGATTTTGCGGTCTATGGTGGCTGCGTTCTGCATGTTCCGTCTCACGACTTCAGTTTAAAATCCCGCATTCCCTGTGAGAACAGTTTCAACTACCTCCTCGCAGGCAGTGCAGCAAATTCTCAGAGAAAGTGGCAGGGTTGAAGGCACTTGCAAGGTTTTCAGAAAATCTCGCAGTGCATGGCTCCCGGCCCCCATTTGAAATCCTAAATTTTGCATCGAAGCTCGGTGGGCATTCTGTTCTTTTCTCAGAAGCTCCGCCGGTTTGGGTTTGGTGGTATTTTGACGTATGCAGTGGGGAATCTTTCTCGGCGATGGCTGCAGGAGCAGCCGAGTCTTCGCTTACATTTGCTGGCTACAAACTAAACAGACTCCTTGCAAGCTGCGATTCTCACTTGTAGTTCAGCCTGAAACCTATGCTACGGATGACTAGCCCTGATGCTCGCACCAGGCTGACGACACCCCGGGCCAGCAGCATTAGCAGGTTCAAAGGGCTGCATCCACAAAGTCAATAAGTTTGCAGCTGGAGCTGAACGGGCTGGTGGATATGGTCTTGCCAGGCGACGTACGTACTGATCTCGCTTGTCAACTCGTTGCACGTATCCGAAAGTACTGTTCTCAAGCAGCCTCCAGCAGGCTTGCAAGCTTTGCTCGCTCCGCATCGAGGGCCTGTGGCACAAAACACAACCATGCCTCCTAGCTTAGAGTTGCGTTGCCGAGCTGCAGAGTCAAGGCGTTCTGTCATTACGCCGCCGCTATGCTTGGTTCAAGTGAGCACCGCAATTTCTCACCCACAACAAAGGCTGCAAGATTCGTAAGGAGTCGGGGCCATCTTGGGTGCTGAATTTCGTTTGTGGAAGCTATTTAAGAGATGCGGGCCGGGTCATGCAAAAGCATCTCGAGCTGGAGGTAATCAGCGAGGACATGAGGGGCTCGCCGCGACAGTTCTTGCAATGCTGACCGCAAGCCCACAGGCCACACCTGTTGCGAGATCCGCAGCGCACGATTGACCTCCTGCAAGAGAACTCCATGCTTCCACTGTGATGCACTTCCTAGATCCTAGGCGCATCAGGACATCGTGACAAGAGCGACCACTCCGGGCCCTGGAGTACCAGAGCAACACTGCAATACTCTTGGCAGTAGAACTCCGGAAACTTTGCATGGCCTCCAGCGCTGCCAGCTGACCCTGAGCCAGGTGGAGTGAACTCCTGGTGGCCTCGCTGCAGGGACAGGGACAAGAACTTCTTGTACAAGGGGTGCAACATTGCTTTGGGAGTGTGCCGGCTTCCTTATCCGAGGGTATTCTGATTTGACTTTGTGTCCTTGCGACCGCCTCTGCAGTACCAGAACTGAAGGCTGCTCAGGCTGCTGTCTGGCAGCCTTCAAAGCCCAAATCTGCGCTGAAACCAGCCTCGAGCTCCTCTTCAAGTCGCTGTGCTCGCGCAGCCTTGCCGCATGCCAACGTCAGAAAGCCATGTCAACTTGCAACTTTCAGCTACTAGATCTACAGCGACAGAAGCCATGCAAACACCAGCTGGGGAACTCAGCCCCTTATCATCTTTACAGCTTTTTGTGTTCTCTGATGCCATGCAGCGGAGTCTTGACCACTTGTGGACGCTTAAGGCGTGCTTCGCGACGATCTTCTCTCGCCGCCAAGACCGCGCGCCGTCGAACGGCACTGCTTGGCGTCAAGCAGCTTTATCCCTTCTTGTCTTTGCTCACTGAAGGGAGCAGGTAGTAGATTCTGCAGAAGGCGCATAATACCAGAATGGCACAGAAGTCCGAGGTTAGAAGCAAGGGCAGAAACTCCATCCTGCCCCGAAACAGTAGGGAGTGCCCACCGAAGTCTCGATAGGCACCCAGCAGGGCATAGGAAGCACCCAAGAGAATCCATGACCATCGACCTGCATGTCCCAGAAGAGGTCTATCTTTTAGCAACACCTCGACGAGCCCTCCGCACAGGAACAGCAGCCACTTGATGGAAGTCTCCGGCATACGCTCTGGCAGCAACGGCATTACGGAGAAGCAAGCCACAGAGGAAAGCACCAAGTTAGACGCAGAAAGCGAAGGCGCGGATAGCAACGGGATGGTAATCATGAGAATCGCTTTCTCGTGCACGTGCCACCCGAAAGTGAAGGCCACAGCAGACCCCAACCTGAGCTGTGTGTTTTCCCCTCTCGCATGGTGAGCAGTGGTTACCTATGTTACATCTAGAGATCGTCATTTCCTCACAAAAGCTTGCCCACATCTAGTGAAATTTCTGAACCCGCCAAACAGCGCCACATAGGTTGCGAAGCTGCCCCGCCCCGCGCCGGCTGGCCCTGTACAATGCCAGATCTTCATTAGCAGAGGACAGTATGCCAGCAATGTCAGGATAAACCTCAGATAGGTGTCGCGCAAAATGACCATTGCCACTCAAGTCTTTGCCTCGCGGTGCTGGCAGCCGAGGCACGTGGCTCGTGGCGGAACGGTCCACAACACCGCAGACTCGTAGACCTCAGCAAAGCCTGCAGTTGAAGAAGAAGCACCTGCTGCGCCCATGACTTTGGCAAGAACCTCGAAAGACTTGGTGCAGCGAAGGGAAAAAGCAAACTCTTTCTGCTCCTTACAACCTTTCTTACTGAAATTCGCCCAGAGGCTCGGTCGAATGTATTGTAAAGAGCCCAGCAGTTGGGGGCCCAGTAAGCATGAGTCAAGCCGCGTCCGAAGGGAAATAAGCGCTTGGCAATCTGCTCGAGCTGTTGCAAGCTCAGGAAGGGGCTCATAAGCAGCAAAATGCTCGAGAGTACGACGGCACCGAGCCTTATCAAGTTCCCAAGCAGGAGTCGCGGCGGCCAGCACGATGCGCCGCAGTGGCCCCGTAGGAGGTAGACAAAGTAGACAGGAGCCACATACAGGAAGATGTGCTTCATGCACAGAAGCAGACAAAAGAGCAACGCTCCCAAGTATATTTTGCCTTTTTCAATGGCTGCAGCAGACAGAAGCAGCAGACCCAGCATCATCCCATTATATTGGAAGTGGATGTGGTCCACCAGGATAAGTGCAGAGTTCCACAACAGCACAGCTGCTGTCTGAGGACCTCCCACAGCCAGGCCTCCAGCAAGCAGGACCAAGTCACCCGCAACAACCTGAGCTTCGATGGGCGATGGGTCACGATGCACCAAGATGTCAAAGCTACTACACCAGTGCTAACGCGAGAGTCCGGGTCACTGAAAGCCGCTGAAAAGTGACGGTGGACCAGCTGGCATACTCCAAGTTACTTACTTGCAGCATCGCAGGGTCAACGCGAACCGCAACTTGAGACAGCAGCCACTCGAAGTATGCAAAGGCTGGCGGATAATCTAGTGTCCACTGGGACGTGGCCTCGAAGTACCATTCAGAAATAGGAAGGCTGTGTGTAATGGCCAGCCAGTTGCGATGCACCTCGAAATCGGTGCTTCTGTATAGGTCCAGAGGAAGCAAGAGGAGCCTGAGCAAAAAAGCCCCGGCGATCAGGGACCAGGAGACTGCCAGGCGCGCCATCCACTGAGCGATGCTGCTAAAACCGACTTAATACGCCGACCATGTCGGCCACCCGTCACTCCCTGAGAGGTGCTGCGGACTCGACAGATGCACATGCGACCCCAACGCCTTTGCTATCCCCCAACTATCCCCGAAAACGTGGAGAATCTGGCACATTCCGGCCTTCTCTTGGCTGGTACCGAGCTCTTTCTGCAACTGCCTCCTCCCTGACTCCAAGATAGAGACCTGAACCGTGCGGGCACATCACAGCGCCTGTCCTCGCACACCAACTTTTTGGCCAAATCAATCACACTGCCCATACAGTCGTCAATTTAGCTGGCTGAGCGTAGCCAAGTGGCACGATGCTGCAACTCGTTCACAAGGTTGCTTTCCTCCTCGTCGACGTTTTGGATGCCTTCGTCTCTTGCCTCTACGTAGCCGTTCAAGCCAGCTTGCCGTTGCCTCGGGCTGGGTGCCAATTCGTGACCCTAGGACTCGCGTCCCCCTGAGAGGGAGTCGGAGTCCACGGCAAGGACGAACGGGAGAGGGAAAGGGAGACAGGGAGAGGGAGTGGGAGGCAGTGAGCAGAGAGGGAGAGGGAGACGGAGACAGGGAGAGGGAGTCGGAGAGAGGGATGGGAGAGGGAGTGGGGGATGGAAAGGGAGTGGGAAAGAGACCGACGGAGAGTGGGCGAGGGAGAGGGAAGGGGAGAGGCAGAGGGAGTGGCAGAGGGAGTGGCAGAGGGAGTGGAAGAGAGAAACAAAGGGAAAGGCAGACCCAACCTCAAGAAGGACTTTGCGAGTTCTGGACAAGGCATGGGTGCAGCCAGGACTGCTCGTCTTTTAAGCGCATGAGGTCGTCGTGGAGACTTAGGTTGGCCGACATCAGCTCCTTCCAAGTCTGCATGGAAGCTCTCACATGTTGCACGACCCACCCACATGCCGTCCTCCACCATTACTGTCTTGCCAGCCCGTCTCCCACGCCGCAGGAGCTGAGACCTACGGGGACGAAAAGCGACAGTGCGGTGCTCTCCATCTGCTTCAACTCGGAGGCCGGAGCCAGCCGGTCTGCTCGGCACCGATGACTGCTGTCTTTGGCTTCAAGAAGAGGACAGCCGAGCTACATTGCGCCGAGAAGTTTTCCAACAACAACACATCAGAAGCGCCCAGGAAGTTCGCGGCTACTGTACATGGCACTCAAAACCTTCACTTCGGGACTACCACAGCTGGGCAGTGCGCGGAGGTCCGGGAATGAAATGCTGAGTCCTTAGAGGCGCTCCTGAAAAAGAGCTCGTTGGCTGTTGGCCCTACAAGCTGGGGCCAGGCCATCTGGCCGTTTCCAATTAGCTTGCTGGGTTTGACCCCATACAACACAGTCTACACTTTGCAGCCCGAGAAGATGCACAGGTTCAGACAGAATTCCTAAGATGAAGGAATCAACTCACGACGTGGAGACATGAGCGACCTCCTACTTTATGCGATTCTGCCAAGACCAACTCCACTTCACCCATTCAGGGCGGTGCGTTGGCAGCTCGCTGTCGCTCTCCTCCTCCTCCTCCTCTGCTGTGGCCTGACAGCTTTGGCCGCTGTCATGCCGTGTAACCCGCTCATGCTCTGTCAAGTTGTGTTTATAAAACAGTACTTTTCCAGTTCCCAGCCGTTACGCGAACATTCAAGAAAGTCTGGCATCTACTCTGCACAGAGAGTGCAATAGCATGAACCCGCGCTGTTCCCAATCCTTGCGAAAGCCTCCGAGGCCCGGTATGTCATGTTCTCCCCTCCGTCGTTGTTTCGCGTAGGAACTTTGCCCATCCCTCTGTGCTCCCCTTCTGCCTTTCTCCCTTCCTGCGCAAGAAGACACTCTAAGCTCACAAACTGTTGCTGTGATGCCCTGCGTTGCTCCACTCTCGCGACGCCTCCTTTGGCCCAAGTGGAACCGTGCAGGCTCGCCGGACAGGCTCCACATTTGATGCCCTGGCACACAGCTTGATCCATTGCAGTGTCGGAGGCTCGTTGGAAAAGCTTTAAGGGGGCCTGCGGGCCACTTGCGCGGTCTTCTCCGCATGCTCTTTCACCTGAGTGCAAGGCTAGGATCTGTATCAGTCTGGCTTTGGCCAGCCCTGCAAGTGCTGCCAGAAGGCTATCTGCTCCAACTCCTGCACAGCATTGCGCAGCAGAGGCAAGATGTGGCAAATTGTGGCAAGTTGCACCCAACAGTGAAAGCCAAATGCATGGACCACCTCGTTCTTGAGAAGAAGCCTCAGATTGTCTTCTTGCTCTCTTGCACATGCCGCTCCGGTCACGACCTGTCAATCGCGTTCCAGGCTTAAGGCCTCCAGACTCTTCTTGGCACTGTCCTGCGCTGCAGCCGAGTGTCTCTTGTCCAATCTGCGCCGATCTTTGCAGGTCTGCCTACGGGGCTGCCGCGAAGAGCGAACGTCCCACAGTCCCACATCCCCACGGCCATGGGCCATGGCATCCCATCATGGCGTGCGTGTGGCGACCCTCCGCCCGCCGACCTCCAGAGCCTCGCGCAGCGCCCGCTCCTCGGCCAGGGCCCGCCTTCGCGAAGGCAAGCGGAAAGTGCGCGAAAGGATGAGCGAAAGGAAATCCTACGTGCGAGACCTCAGACGACGTGCACTGCATATGACTTGTCGTTCACTCGAGGACCACAGGAGGGCACAACAAAGCCAAGGTGTCTCCTGGCTTGTAGCAGCTTCCCGCGCCTGACTTCCAGGATCTCCGACGCATCTGGATCCATCTTCAAGGATCAGCGCTGGGGTCAGGGGGTGCCACCTCTCAAGTGGCCTCTGCGTGTCTTTTCGAGCGGACTTGATGGCTTTATCTCATTTTCTTCTTTTGCATGCGTCTTGTCTGCAGGAAGCTCGAAACTGTTAAGTTTCACGGCCAAGCCTTTGCAAGAGAGTTTCTTCAACCATGAAAGGATCATGCCAAGCCGAGCTATCTGCTGCGATTCAATTGATTGGCTCAGTCAGGCGGGAAGAGTGTGCAGTAGTTCGCCGGGTATGCCCACTGACTCTTGGGAACGGTCGGCGCATTACTCTTGGGAACGGTCGGCGCATTTTTCGTCTAAGCTGCTGGTAGAGGTGCTGTCAGGATACACCTGACACCAGTAGGGCAGCGAACGCGACCACTTCGCCGGCCCCTCCAAAACGGCGGGAATGAGAAATCGCAAGCGCTTTGCCCTGCCCGAAGCTCTGGGCCCTTTCGGATACATCTTCCAAGCGTGGACACGGAGGCTTCAGCTGAGGAAAGACTTTTAGCATCGTTTAGCTGATGCCTCGCACCACGGGGGCTGTGGGCCATCCTCCACTTGGGAACTCGCCAGGAGCTCATGGAGATGACGGACAGCCCAGCCGGAAGCAGCCGCTTTGTCACGGCCTTTGGAGAGTCCTCTTCGACGGAGGCGACTGGCGACTTCGAGAGAAACAAGAACCGGGCTCGGGCTGAGGACTGTTCTGACATTTAGATCGCCGCGTCATCGGGGACATGCTTGAAAAGCCGGCCACACCTCTTTGGGCAGAAGCATCCATGCGCACGAGAACCTTTACAGCGCATGGCGTTGCTGCACGAGGGAGCTCAGCAGAACTGAACCTATTCGGGCATGTGTGACCCTATGTGGGCGCATCACCTACCGACTTAGAACGTCCCAAGTCAACGACTGAAGCCAGTTGAGCAAGGGATCGGAGCCTTTCCGGCCCCATCTTCGCACCAAAATGGCCAGCATGCAGGGTTCTGGAAGCGGAGTCGGGATGTGATGGCTTGCTTCTTTAAGCATCAATCCCCTTTGAAGAACATCAGCTGATATTGGTCAACCTTACAAAGAAAGATGGGAGCTTTAGAATGCATATCGTTCCTACTCGCATCTACAGGCGCTACACCTCATCGAGGCCCAGACTCCAGCGGTACATGACAAAGCCCAGCATCGAGTTGACTTCCATGTGCTACTATGACGGTAGCTCCAGTTATGATTCCCATGCTGAACCAGCCGGAGTTGACCCATGTCTTTGGGACGACACTCGGCACTGGTTCCATACGGCACCATGTTTACAAGCCATCATGCATTCCCGCGAACCTTGCAGAAACTTCCGCATGACAAACGAGGGCTTCAAAATCTTGGGCAGAAGCAGACATTGCGTTTATCATTGGTCTGTTTGAAGCACCCGTCGCCACTCAATTCTCGGATTCTGTAAGAGGCTCTTTGCTCTCCTTGCCAGCCATGTCATCGATTCTTGGAAGGTCGAGTCGAGGTTTATGTATACTACTTCTCGACGTGATGTCGCAGCATTTCTATTTAGCTCCTTCACACAGCTTTACCAACACACACACACACCACACATGCACATCACATACACATGCACAGGCCGGAGACGAAACTTCTGCGTGCTGGAGGAAATCGAAAATACCAAATATGCCCTGTGGCATGACTGGCCCGGTGATACAAAAGAAGCCTCACAGGTCGTGCATCAAGCGGTGTTAAGTGGCACCTCGCAGCCCTAGACAATGGGTGCACCTCGGCCCATAGCCAGCACAGTTTCATGCTTTTCGTGTGCCATAGCGGAAAGCTGATTGTAAGGCACGGACCAAGCAAGCGCAATGCTTGTCGGAACATCCGGTGGCTGCTTTCGGCCATTACCTGGGAGCTTGTTGCGGACAGCCCGGACGAGCGTACGTTCACCGCAAACTGAACCCGGGAGGTCTGGAGAGCACGAAATTCCTGACTTTAACAGCTTCCAAGAGGCAAACACAGAATTCGTGGCCCTCGATACTCTTGTACATCATAGGGACCTCGCAGGGGTGAATACATTTCGGAAGGGCAACTTGCGCGGAACAGAATGGCTCAAATTGATTCCAACACTGGTTGCTGCGAGCTGCCGGCTCAGTCTGCCCGAACCTCGACCTTGGCTGACGCCGATTTCAACCAAGGAAACGAGGCTGAAGTCCGTCTGCATGCTAAGACACACCAATCGTCAGCGAACTCCCTTTGTCCACGTGGGAGCGCCAGTCCATACTGAGCTCACAAACCTCCGAAAAGGCTTGAAAATCTCAGACACTGGGGACCCTGTCGGCGCTGAAAGACCAGGGCCTGAGACGTGCAGTGCTCCATAGAAGCAGAAAGAGGACCGAGCCGACACGAGCCGATGTTGAAGTAGATGCTGATCTGCTCGGCCTAAGACGCGCAGGAAGGTGCGGCCCACGACTCATCGACACACACGAAGGTGCTTGAAGCGCATGAAGAACGATGCACAGAATAAGTTGCACCAGTGCACTCGGCTGGGGCCAGGACACTCGGCCTTCTGCTGAACTTCAGTTGAAGCGATCCGTAGCGGCATCCTTTTTGCCAGACCTGCATGAAGACGTCTTCGCTTGACTCCGGATTCTGCCGGTCTTCCCGTGTTAAAATGTCTTAAAGGAAGCCGTGGCCGTGCTGCCTTCCCGGTTTGCTGGTTCGCACATCATAGTTTTCATTTTCTTCGTGGGATGTGCCGCGCTGTCTGTGGCCTGTTGCTTGCAACAAAGGCTCGCACAGTATAACATGCGCCCAGGGGTGGAGACGAAAGCGCCCACAGAAGTGACACAGGCTTATTCTGCATGGCAGAAGGATGCGTCCATGCGGGTCATCGAGGTAAGCCCGAGGTGGTTGCACAGGAACACCACAGTGTGATAAAGGTGATGAGCATCACGGGTTCAAATCTTGCACAAGAAAGCCAACATAGCATCAGGAGTATCACGGACCCTCCGCTTCGAACAACCCTGCGATGTGGGCCTTTCCGGGGACAGATCAGCAAAGCAGAGTATGAACCGCAAGCTCCTCTTTGAGGAGGGAGCTTTCGTGATGTGGCGTAGAAATGCCATCACCGGAAGCTGTCGACGTGGGACGCTCAGTAGGAGGGATGGCGAAAGGATGGGTCCTTCCTGCACACCTGCCTACTCCCGCCGGAAACGGGCCTTGTCCTTCCTGTGCTTCTTGGGGTCCTTTGGCTGCGCATTTTGCCAGAGGGTTCCAGGTGTAAAGATCCTAAGCTCAGCGAAGAGGAGGCGAGGTTGCATCCAAGTTGAGATTGCGAAAAGTCCATCTCATATTATGAGCTTGATCTCGCACACGTGGGGAAACACCTCGGCAGCCGTGCGGCGCACGCATGTCATTGAAGCCGGCCAGGCTGAAGGGATTCGAAACCAATGGGCATCCACAGTTGGCCTTGAACTTGGCATTGGGATTCCTCAGCTGACTGGGGTGGCCACAGGAAACTGAGAAAGAAGCGGGCTGTCTTTGTTCAGTGCACCTACTGATCAGCTGAGTGTCAAAATCGTCCATTCCCAGGATGTGTTCGTTGGTTCGATGGCCGCTTCTGCCTCCATCCCCATTGCAGCACCGAAACGATCCGCCTGAGCTCTGCCACGGTGAGATGGAGGGAGGAAGGGAGGGAAGGGAGGGAAGGGAGGAAGAGAAGCGGACTTTGTGGCTTAAGGCTTGGGATAGAGTGACATCTGAGATATCTCACATCTACCGGCTCAGCACTCCCTTCGCACAAACCAGCGGCATGTAAAAGACTCCCTTCTCCGATGACTCCGAAACCCGCCTCGCCGACTGGCAGCTCCAGTCCGGGCCTCACAGGAAGACTGTGGCAGCACCGTGCTCTCGACCGGCTTAAGGGTTTATTCTGGTTCGAAGCTTACTTGGCATGCGCAGGCTCGAATAGTGCCCTACACCTGACGTCATCTCCTCGCACGGAACCTGCCGTCTCCTGCGCTCTAGAAGATGCTATGACAACGTGTGGAGCGACTCGTGGTGAACTTGTTCGCACTAGACGGTCAGAGCTGCAATCAGCACTTGCTCTGATTTCTGTTGCAAGCGTCGGTGGGCCAACTGGGAGAGATGGAGGCAGGCCTGGGCACAAGGAGCGAGTGGTGCAAACAGCGACTGAATCTGTCATGCCAAAAAGTCGACCCAGACACATTACATTCCACTGCCCGCGGGTTGTGTGCTGATCCAGGGGCATTCAGACAGTGCCAATGGGATGGCACGCAGCCGGTCTGCAGCCGGCGGCAAACCTGAGCAGGATTCGCAGCTTGGAGGTTCCGAGTGACAGCTCACGAGGCTCTCTTTTCAACTGTCCCTTCACATCCTGCATTCACGGGCGGGGCTCGCTCTTCATTTGGGAATTGTCCATGGTGCTCATTGCACGTCGCCTGCACCAAGCTCTTTCCCAACCCGATGTTGCCCTCCAACAGCCTCCGTTGCACTTCCGAAAAGTTCATTGTGGCCGGTAGACTTCAGCCTCCCTAACGGCATGGGCATCGCGAACCAACTTCATTGCATTAAATGGGATGCACCGCACGCGTTGGCGGCTCGTATTCGCCCGAAGTACGGTAGTAGATGACAGAGTACCGCTCGCCTGTGTAGCCAGAGACCCAGTGGGGGAAGCGACCATCAATACAGGCCAAACGGTTGCGTGTGTCCAACACACGAACCAGATTGGGACTTTCCTCAACACACAGTGACCCGCCCTCTGCAAAATCTCCTGTTGACAGTGCATACTGCACCGAGAGATCGTTCTGATCGATGTGTGGACTCCCTCGGAAATTCTTGGTTACTGCCATGGCCGTAAAATGGAAGGCTGCGGCTTTGGGAGATGCTCCGCGTAGCACTTCTTCGGCAAGTGCCCACAATTCACCCAGGGCACGCTCCTCTCCCCAAGACCCTGCAAATTTCGAGGCCTGCGCAGCCTTCAGAACAACATAGCCTGATGCGTGAACGCTTGGCCGGGCGTTCTCCTCAAACTTGATATGCCGTAGTGCCGCTAACAAGCGACTTAGTGCCTCCGGCTGGAGTGGGATGGTTGCAGAGGTTTCGAACGTCCGTGGCTGATGCTTGTATGCCTCGCACAGGGCCTGGACCAGCTCAGCTCGCCGACGCTCCTTGAAGCCCATGACGAAAAACTCGGTCGGAGCAACTGGCCGCAATTCTTCTCCAAAATCTGACAAGCGCTGCTCCATTTGCTCTATCGACAATGCCTCAAGCTGCGAGGACAGCTCGGGCTGGGCGAATGCTTGGAGCTCTCCTGCCGCTGCTGAATCACTCCCACAGGGTTCCTCTGGGAAGCTCGCAGCGTAGCCAGATCTCTTCAGCGCCTTATCGATACTGCTGGGCTTGCGGGCCGCGAAGAAAATCATTCCCGTGTTACCCCTCTTCTTGCAGCGTCCATCTGTGAGGACTGCATTCCCGCTAGCATCAAAGTCAGGCATGCGGCCGCGAATAGTGAGCTTAAAGCCATGCAACTCAAGCGTTTTCCTGACATCCTCCCAGGTGTCCTTGTGGCGGTTGTGGGCCCAATCCCACTCTGCCACCAGCCGCCTGACAGCTCCGAAGTCCTCGATGGATGCCACGTACCGTTCCGCCCCCTCGGCATCAATCTTAATGACCGAAGGGCTGTACTTCGCGATGAGGTCCTGTAGTGTGACGCACTGTACTGGAATTGTGGCATCTGCATGACTGCGTGTGGCGAAGAGGGAAGCAAAAAAAAGGCGAGAAGGATTGTTGGTACCTCGGTGTGCATAGAGTTCTCGCTCATCGCATGCGTCAGATAGCGCCCGATTTAGAAGCCTGACCCTGGGACCGGATAGGTTCTTTGATAACAAGCCAAATGTCACAGGGTGTGGCTCCACGCAGACCACAGCGACACCGGGAGTCTTCAATGCCAAAGCTGATGCTGTGCCAACATGCGCTCCAACATCAAGCACAACGTCACCGGAGCAGAGAATGCAAGCCTTTCCTGGGGCAAAGCCATAGCAATTTGAATTGACCACATCTTTCATTACCCCGACTTCGCTCTCAGGCATGAAAAGCTCCAGCTGGCCAGAACCAAGGGAAGGGCAGCAGCTCCGGACGAGGCGCGGCTCGGGATTCTCCTCTTGTCTGGGAAGCTTCTCGGACTTCAGCAGGGTCAAAAACTCCTGCAAGAACTCGAGCCTGTGCTTTGCTGGGTCCTGGATTCCGGACCCGAGTGCACTGCAATAGTGCCGCCAGCCTTTGAAACCATGGCAGACCACCCCAATGTAACCCCCAATCCCTCGCTCTATCGCTACCGCTCCCAATCCAAAAAGCCCGAAATCCAACGAAACGTTAGACCGTTAAACCCTCAGCCTTCTCTGGCGATGTCGCTGCTCCGCTGCTGAGATTTCACCGTCTCGACAAGCGTCTCGTGGGAGGCTCGGTCTTCGAGTGGTATGGATGGCGTGACAGGAGATGCCGTTGACATGGCAGCTCCGGTCAAGTAGGCTGCTGCGAAAGGCACGAAGCTGCATACAAGTAAGCTAGGTTTCAAAGCACACCGTTTCCTTTCAGTGAGACAACATGAATGTCCTATTAATTTGTCCCTCCTACCTAGCACGGACAAAGCCCGCATGGACAGGGCCTAGGGTGGGGCATGAGTCTGTTGATGCATCCTGCGTGCCATGCTTGCCCATCTCCTCCAAATATTCTTTCCGATGCGCTCCTGAAAGTCTACGGCCGAAGTCTCAACAACCACGGCTGTACTCAGCTAACGGCAGCTTGGCTTGACAGGACCTGGCTCACTACGATGTTGTGTTGAAACACCAAAGTCCTGACGTCCGTATGCAAATCAAAACAAGAAATTTTACCCCGGTCCGAGTCGGAATGCTAGATCGCTCTACCGCTACTGCTGCCAAGACTGCTGGAAAGCGGGGACGTGGCAGCGCTCGCGCCGCCTGGCACTGCTTTGTCTGCAATGCTACCGCCCTTCCGACCAGACGTATCGAATACTTGATGACAGAACCTGCAGCAATCGCAAGCCCCTGCCGCCTGAAGGTAGTTGGGTCTCCGCGTCTGCCTCGCGACTCGACTCTGAGAGATTTTCAAAACTGGCCTGTATACGACAACTGGCCTATTCTTGGGCCAATGCCACGTGTCAGATCTTGTCAGAACCCGGCCTGAAAGCCAGAATCGGATCTTGAAAAGCATTTGGGTCGCCGCTTCAGCCTCAGGCTTTGGAGGACGACTTCACAGTGAACGGAAGCTCCAGAACATGCCTCCGAGGCACAGCTGTCCTTCGTTTGCTAGCCTCTCTTTTTGTTCCAGCTCCTGTCAGCTCAAGCCTGTACAGAAACCTCCCCGACCATGAGCAACAGCCGAGCCTGCAAGATGCACTGCAGTAGATCCATGTCCAGGTTTTGCAGCCTCACGTAGAAGCACAAGGTCTTGATGGGAATGCGCACCATGTCCGAGATGGCTCTGCATGCAGCTGATGTGTGGCCACGGCAGCGATGCTTGACGGTGGCCACACATCCACTGCAAACTCTACCTCCTTGCAGCAGCGCGGCCCTGTCATTGCCATGGTCATGTGTCTCGGAAAACGAGCGTTGGATTGCACGTGGAGGTGCGAATCCAAGAGCTTTTGCCTATGGATCTCGACACTTTACACCAGCACAAGAGCTCGAAAGCACCTTTAGAGCACGAACGTGCCTCGGGCCGAAAGCCACATTCACTCTCGGTTGACTGCTGCACCTATGCTCCGCGATGCAGTTGCTTCAGGCTTCTGTCTCGTTGCCTTTTCACCTGTGGACACGTCTTGACGACACCGCCGCGCGACCTGTCAAGTCTTTCTCGGTCGGATGGGTGGGCCATCACTGTAGCCTCCAAGCAGGGTTCTTGACACTGGGCACTATGAAAGGTCAAGAATCCGGGAACCAGGTCACTCCAAACGTATTTGCACCCCCTTCATGCCCAACCCCGCATTCCATCCTTGCGGCTGCGTCCAAAATGCTAGATCAAGGCGCCACCGAGGCACAGGCACGGTACAGTGGTCTTGAATTCTGTCTGCAAGCAATGCACACCCCCAGCCTCAAACAGACCAGGAGCTTTCAACCGCCTCCCAGACGTAGCCACAGGTTGTGCTATGGCGGAGATGCACTTTTTGTTACCGTTTGATAACCACAGACCTTGGCCGCCATGGCCCAACCACAAGCTAGCAAGCTGTTCAGGAATAGCGGTTTTGAAAGGACCGGAGCACTGCTTAGGTGCTCCAGCTTGGCCCCATACTCCACGCAGGTTTTCACGGAAGCTTTGTGCAGCCACCTCCGTGAGAGCACACGGCCACTGGACAGTAGAAGGCAAGTCGCTCCTGTCAGCGGTTCCAGAGTGGTCTACCCCACATCTAGTAAATTTCACACCAAAAGACCTGGAAGTTGCTCTGCAGAAGTGAGCATGGGTGGGTATAAACGTATTCCACTTCAGCCCTCTTTGTGCCTCACGCCATCTGCCCAAGGATCTCAGGAACGAGTCTGACTTTCACGGCGGGGAACAGGCGGTGTCCAGTGTGCAGCTAGTCAGATAGACAAAGCTGGACAAATCGATTTGCAAATAACTTCTCACATAAGTAACCTTTGGCTTGACAGGTGCGTGCCAAACGGAAAAAGATAGCTCTAATCGCTGAGTGGCCATGAGGCTGCTAACGAGCTACTCAGGTGGTCACTGGTCGGACCCCTGCGATGCAGCTCATCGCCAGCTCAGCGGCAGCATTGGAGCTCTTCCCAAGGGCCAAAGGCCGAATCCCTAGATCTGACATGTCAGAGTGAAGGTAACACATAGTTCCTTTTGAACTGAATCTCGGGAGAGCAAGGTCACATGCAAGCCGAGACTGGGCCAAGGCTATGCTTACCCTGATGGTTGGACGGTAGTTTGACAAACTGCAATAGCCTCGATGGCCACGCCATCTCGATCACATGACAAGTAGATGCGTCAGCTGGGCAGCTGAAGCCACATCCTACCCAGATCCTTCAGAGATTCGAGACACACCTGTCGAACGTCCCGCCATCTCTCCGATCATCTGAAAGGCTGGGCATTTCTCGAAAATACATGCTAGGTGCAGGCTGTTATGGTGCCTGGTGCTAGCAGGGCGAAGATGGGGTGCAATGGCACATGAAGAATACAGCGCAATTGCGATTTGCTGGCTGAGATGAGCAGCTTTCCCCAGGGCTTCACCCATGCCGCAGGAAGCAAAGCAAAAGCTCCATCATCTCCATCTGGACAGATACCTTAGCTGCGAGAGGTTGCAAGCGCTTGCGCTGGCGCACATCTCTGCGCTTTCTCGTGTAGCCTTGCTAGCGGCTAGCACAATCGAGCCTTACCTGTGACGGGTTTCCGCGAGTCGCGGCCATGGTCTTGTTGCAGGCAGGGCGCGACTGGGGAGACCTGCGACGTCCCTCTTTCTGAGAGAACACGCAGCTTGCCACGTCCAAAGATACTGTACAGAAATGGCCTGGGCAGACGCGACAATGCAGGTGGTGCAAAGAACCAAGCAAGACTAACTTTCCCATCGCCACGGCACGCGTGCCCCTGAGTCGGCTCTGCTGTATGAGGCGCGTCAGACCCGCGCCCTGGCAATGAGAAATCGGCGTTTTACCTGTGACACACTATCGGATGTTAAAGTTAAAGTTAACGTGCAGTCCTCTGGGTCGAGATGGAAGGCGACCCAGGGTGGTTCTTTGCCTGACTATCACGGGCAGAAGCTGGGATCTGCGGCAAGCAGTCACAGCCATGATCCAAGCCGCTCGCAATTTGCTCAAACTTCTCTATGCGCGTTCAATCTCCACCTGAGCTTGGCTGCATGTGCAACAGCAGCGCTTGTCGAGCCAGGTTTGATGCCGTTTCTACCAAGCGGCGCCGATGCTAAGTGCACCTCCACACAGCTCCCGTCGCCAATCCACCGGCAGCTCGAAGACCTGTCCATTTCACACAGCTTCGACGCCGCTCGATTTTGGGTCTGTCTGGTGTTGCAGCCTCGGTGGTACACTGTCCAGCAGGGCTGGCAACCGGGCCGAAGCGATGGGATCCAAAGAGAAAGAAGACCTTGCTATCTTCAGCCTGCAACAGGCGAAGGCCCTCAAGAGTTCTCAGTTGAGGAAGGCCGGAAACTTCTTTTCCACACCACACTACCGGCTCCTGGTGAGTATAAGTATAAGAGAGCACGCTCTGCCGACACAGCAGGCCAGCCTTGGCATCACCTGAAATCTTCAGCTGCAAGGTGCCGAACTTTGGCAGATCATCACAGGCCTCTTTCGAGGTCGAGGCACGGATCAGTGGGGTCGAGGTTGAGGAAGCGATTGGAACCGCTGAGTTTGAGATGAGGATACAGTTGGCACGCTCGTACACAGCAAGCCGCGAAGACTCTAGCTGCTAGCTGGTAGCCCACTGCACACCACGACAACTCCAGGTAGAGTGCCTGCTACAGGTAGCCCTGCGGGCACTGAGCCGGGTGCCGAAACTTCCAGCTAGCAAAGCATAACAGCTTGGCATTGTCTGTGTGGGGTGGGCCGTTGTCACACCACACTGCGCAAGACCAAGGACTCCTGCACCCTAGTCCCGAATCCTATTCCGGTCGAAGCCTGACTCTTCTTGTGCTTCTTTGTCGTTCGGCAATATTCCGTCATCCACTGCTTTCCAGGTGCAAAGATCCTCGGCAAGGGTGCCAATTTCACTTTGAGAAGACGACGGCACAAGATCCGGTGCGGACAAGCATCACCCTGACGTCGTCCAAATCTCCCACCTGGCCGTGGGACAGTCGATGTGGTAAAGTCCATAAAGAAAGCCTACCTCGGCGGCTTCTCAAGCTACGCCCCATGGGCATGAGCCGTCACAAGCCTGGAATGGCTGGGAGACCAGTGGACAGCCGCAGGCAGACTTGAACTTCGCCTCGGCGGAAGAAGGATGTGTCGTCTTAGAGCAGGCATGCTCAAGACATCTCCAAGCTTCTGCCAAGACACGTTTGGATTCAGCACGTGCCACTGCGGCTCCTGAAGCTGCCAGATCTGTGAGAGGACGATTGAATCACGACTGTCGGCCTGAGGAGCTTCTGGTGGCAGCTCGATGGACACTGTACGAGACAGCGGCTGCGGAGGAGGCACGAGACTTGCCAGTGGAAGCCTTAACCAATTTCAGGGAGACAAGTCGATTCAGACACACTGTGAGAAGCATTGCTACGGTTCGTTAGCACCACCGAAGCTCAGTCAACACTTCAACTTTTCCAAGACTTATTCAAGGACTTTTCAAGCACAATGCGTTGATCGAAACAGCTCACTCTTCTTCAATTCTGGACTGCCCAGCGGCGGCAAAGGCAGACCCGGAGGGGGAGGAATCGATGGCCCGACCAGCCTGAGAATACCGAGGACATGACAGAACCGGCTACGGCGGCTACGGCGCTTACATCGGTTACAGCTTTTTGCAGATCCACATGTCGGCTATATGCTGCTTGGAGCGTACGCAGAGGGCTGGCCGCAGCCTGCGATGCTCCCGGTTGAAAAAGCAGACAAGCAACCTGGTCAGCCCCATTGGCGACGAGGACCGGATGGAGGAGAGGCTCTGCGATGAGGCAGGAGAAGGTGTCCTTTGATTATGCGGGTTCTTTACAAGAGCATCAGAATACAAGGACATACTCCGACGCTCACCGGCAGCTCAAAGCCCAAATAATCGCTGAGGGTCTCAGTGTCTGAGGAACACGCAGAGTCCCGCATGGCGCAGCTCTGGACTTTCCTGAAATCTGCAGGCGATCGAGGGTCTGGCTTCAAAACACATAGAGCGAAGTGCACAATTCTCAGAGACACCACCACTCTTGCCCGACAAGAGGATTTGTTGGGTGGGTGTGATTTTGGCCACTGCCCCGAGCGTCAGGTGCGTGAGCTCCCGGAGGATGCATTGTGCGAGCACCGTGTCGTCCAGGGTGGCGGCCATTGCTGTACAGCGCTGGTGCATTCACTTCAGAAATGTTTGAGCTAGAGTATCGCTGCGGTTCAACATGGGCTCCTTCAAGAGGGCACTCTTTACCAAGAAGCGTAACACAGCGAAGTTCCGCCGATAACCTCTTATAACCCATCACAACAATTTTCTTGCGCGTGCTTGTGAACATGTCGGCTCGTCTCACCTTTCACAGCTGGGAGCAAAGTCTGGGATCCAAACAACTCACAACACCCTACCACGTAGGATAACTTTGAGGATTACTCTTCCTCTCCAAGACACCAATCTGGCCCAGATCTTCTGCGGCAGCTGCGGGGACTGGAAGAGTCACATTGATGTTCGCAGGTCGAGCCGCTGTGGATTTTTCCACGAGGCACTAGCGCTGCTACGGTTGGCCCATTCACGCTGCTGCTTCATCCTTGGACCTTGTTCA